ATCAAGGACCTTGGTCTAAACAAATCTTACTAGTATCAACACCTTAAGAATAAGATAGTGTGAGCGCTCCAATAATAAAGAACTAGATAAGTATAAGTATAATAATGTCTACCACTTCAGCAATGAACATGTTAACTAGAATCTCAGCCACAACTCTAATTAGCCAGACAAAACCTGAAAACACACTATTTTTGGCTTAAAAACACGACAACACATATAGTGCCTATTTATTAAAAACAAAAAAATTTAAAACGAGAAAACACACAAAGCAATGAATACAAAGTGGCTAAGTGTAAACCAGCAAAAAATAAAATCCCTGATAGCTGCCGGTTACAATTAAGCAGGCTAGAATATATCACTAATTTGCCTTTCCACATAATGCAAAAATAAAAATTTCAAACCGGTTATACAAATGTAATAATTCACAGAAGCACCTTGTAAAAATAAGGGTTTCCCCCAAAAAGTCATAAATCCAGCTCCAGTGAGGGGCCCCTCTGCTGGAGCTGATAGGTACCAGAAAATAAAAACATTAAAACAAACAAAAGTTAATTAAATAAAAGGAAGACGGGACAAAGAGCTCAAAAACCAGCCTGGGAGGTTCAGGAAGGCTGAGGGTGTTACACAGGGACTTCCAATAGTAACTTACCCTATTTGCCACGCTGCACACCGGGCTTAGGGAGCACGCCAATGACCCTGTTGAATCCTGCGTCAGGTAACCGCGTTGAGGAATGTCCAGTACCAGGAACCGTAAACCAGGAGGTAGAGGTTGTGCTGGGGTTGTGCTGAGATCGCAGTAAGGCAATGAAGTGGTGAAAAAATGAACATGGTCTACGCGTTTCGTCTGCAGATCAGACTTTCTCAAGACTGGTGTTCATCACAACAAAGATCAGCTTACCCATTACTTAATAGATTAATTGATATCATACAATGCATTACTAATAGGACTGTTGATTGTAATCATATGCTGTATAGCGAATTCAGTTCAAAACAGTAAATAATAAACATTAGGAGGATATTCCTCAATAATAAGCTATAGATAATAATAAACTAAAAAATATATAACATTAAAAATTAAATAAATATAACCTCGTAGGCAAATAGACCATAATAGTAGAGGCAACTCCATAGATAGACTATGGACTAATCAAGTTGTAACGGCTACCCAGCTAGAGAGGGGTACCTGCCGTTGGAGACGTCCTTTTCTAGGCAAGCTGCTGTGAAGTAATGGAGTTATTATTCCCATCCATGATATCCAAGTGTATAATCCAGGAGTGCTGTAAAATGAGGCAGAGTAACGGTACCATAAATCCCCTCCAAGAACGAGACGAGGCTACGTTTTGAAGGGTCAAGTAGAACTGATCTTTATTGACAGAGGGTCTCCTTTTATGTAATATTGCCCTCTGAAAGGCTACACCCACATAATTATCACAACAGCCAATTACATACATGGTTCAACCCCCACGTCTCCTCCCCTCAGATAACATATAACACAATTAAAACAGACACAATTTTAACTACATTCTGGATGTACCCCAAAAAGAGGGGGTACACCTGCACCGCTTAATAGCGACACCGCTTAATAGCTCTCACTCAGGGGAACAATATATCCAAATTTCAGTCCATTCGGTTGAGGGGTTCGGGAGTTATGGGTCTTTGAAGTTTTGACCGACCGCACAGGTTTTCTAGCCGAAAAGAGTTCCATAAGTTTTGGCCTTGCGGTCGGTCTCCGTTCGTGCATAAAAACCCCACGAACCCCTTGCCATCCACAGTAATCTTGGTGTTCGCCTGAATCCCCATGAATGCTTAAACAAAACTACTGATCGGCCGGTCATTCGGTAGTTCCAGCACGAACTTACGAGCTCCTAGAGGTCTCAGCGGTGTTCGCCTGTTTGCGTATCCGTTTTTAGTTCCATGCGTTCACAGGCAAACACCGCCGTTCGTGCGTAAGATGGCCGCGAACACGTGTAAAGTCCCGAAATGGCGGCCATCTAACCTGAGCACAAAGGGATTCGTCTGAACCATGCGAACGGCTCCACAATCACTGGGAGGTAAAATAGCAATTAACTGTTCCCCTGGGTGGTCTGATGTTCGGTATTTTGGGCTGTATGTTACAGTAGCAATATTCACACGAAAACCAGCCATTCGGTTTCCGTTTAACACATCCAGCAGCATTGTTAATTAAGTCCAGGCAAAAGTATAGGCATAATCATAGTTCTGTTACACAAGTGACCACATATACAGGGCTAATTGACATAGCAAATCGAATAAGTTAATAAATGAAAAATAAAACAAATGAGGAAAATGAGGCTATCTGTAATTGGCCCATCGTGGGAGAGTTGTAATATCTTCACTATACAACAGAGGGTCAATAGGAGGTCCCTACATCCATATAGAAACACATGAGGTATCTCAAAAACTTAAGACATAAAACTGCAAGCAGTGGTTATGGTGGAAAATGATAATAGAAAAAATGAATAGAAAAATAACTAAAAAATATATACACTTGCTGGGGGATCTGCTCAGAATCATCATGTGCAACCAGTCTGCCTAAATGAACAAAAGTGGTTATGGTAGAGAGGAAAACAAAAACCTGTTAGACAATCTGTTCAATGTCTTCATTGAGCCCATAGGGGTTAAGCGTATTCAATTTGAATATCCAGTATGTTTCTGCAGAGATAAGTGCTTTTTTCCTGTTCAAAGCACTATTTTTATCTGGGATCTGTTGGATCCCCATAACAGTAATATCCCCTGGGTTACTCTCATGGTTAGCCTCAAAGTGTTTTGCTATCAGGGATTTTCTATTTTTATGTAAAATTGCTTTATCTTTTTATGGTATTACAATTTGGGACATCGCAACGAAAGCTTAATTTGAGATCTGAGAGTAGAGCTTCGGGATAAAGATTATCTGAAAAGCACCTTTTTTTAGTGGAAAATAGTGAGTTGCCAATTGGAGCCTGCGTATGAGCAGCATTTTGTATACATTTTACATTATGTTGTATTTCCTATTTTCTTAATAGAATTACCCAAATATGTTATATACTTTGCTTGCAGAAGTCAAGAGGAGATCTTCTGGGTAGATCTGCCCTATTAAGGGAAGTGCTGTTCAATTATATTTTTTATTTTATTTTGCATGGTAATAGAGCTTGTGTCGATTGTATATATACTGGTGATATAAAAGTGATGCTTACCTGCTAGAGTCATCCCCTCCCCCGTCCCCCACACAAGCACAGAGGCCAGGGAACCCTAAAGCCCTTGCCCTCAAAAAGTACACGTCATTCTTAGTAAATAAATACTAATAATAATAATAACTCAAATTATGTAGCACAAATAATGAATACCCTCCAGTTGGATTGCTTGTGGGATAACACTGAAGCACTCTTCAAGCAACAGAAGCTCCAATGCTTCTGCTGGTTTGTAAAGCATGCTTCATTGAATTCATAAAAGAGATATATGGCTAAAACATGAGAATTTATCTTACCTATCCTGACCACTTCACTTGCTGGGAGGAATAGTAGGTTCTGTTCTTGCAAAGGTGCTGAGTTTCAGTTGTAAATGAGACACTAAGCCATACCTTTAAAAGAGTGCATCATTTTCCAAACTTACAAGTACAATACATTTTTTAGCTTCAGACGTTTTGATGATAAACAAATTGACATATAATTAGATTACTCTATGCACCCCTATGCATTTCTATTGAACACATCCATATTTGCTTTTGTTACTATAAAAAGATGTGACTGGTTTGTACAGGTGGAAATCATCATTAGATCCTTATTTATAGTTTATTTTTTTTCTTTTCTGGAAAACATATGTATGTTTTTTTTTTTTTTTCTACCACACGGAATGTGCATTTGAATAACTATTTTTTGATAAGGGCATTTTAATTACCATTAGACAGAGGATTAGGACAATGATTCTAAATAAATGATCTGTTTCTGCAAATAATTACTCTTAATCTATGTTTAATCTTGTATCTGCATGTAAAGACACAATCAATCAGTGTTAGGATCTCACCATGTGCTCTCCAGTATACATTGCACATAATATGGCCTAACAATGATATATAGTTATTTAGAAAACAGGATGCAAGAAAACTGAGAATGGACAGTAGCCCAAATAGTCTGCCCTTCGGTGGGTCCCCGCTCAGATCTCCCAGCTCAGATATCAAAAAGAACCAGGGCCATTTGTACATCATACTGATTTTATCGATAAGGGTGGAACAGAAATGCAGTCCGGCTCTCTCTACACAAGAGATACAGCAACCCCAAATGATTGTTTCAACCTTGTTAGGCATTGTCAGTGAGGTATAGCTGATATCTCTCTAGGCACCGAGAGCTATGCATGCAGAAGCATTACAAGAATTACAAGAATTCAAGATAGCATTAATATTTTTATCATATAGGTGGATGGTGTTATTTTGACTTACATTTTTATATTGTCATAATTAGACAACAAAACCATACAGTAGTGGGAATATAAATATATAAATATTTATATATGAAGAAGTAGAAACAAAATCAGTCCATACAGATGTAGATCAGTAAGACACTTATATTACATTTATCTAGCAGTGACATTTTGATAATTTGAGAGCATTTCATTCTCATAAAGCATCAAAGTAATCAAGGTCACAACATAACAGTTTTATGTCAGATTATTATCGTTAATAAAAAGAATTATATATATATGATGAAGAACCTTTGTGACTCAATTCATTCAACACTCATACATCTGGCAAATGTTATAACTGTAAAAGAGTTTAATGTACACACATTAATGGATTACAAAATCCAAAAATACAAATATTATTGAAGCTGTATTGATGAAAATAGTGATAATGGAAAAATATTTATGTCCATAACTACAAAAAAGTACTTTCTATTTTATAAAAAATATTAATTATCTATTAGTATTTAATTAACATTGTTGAGATTATTTGTTTTATTTAGGCTGAACTAAAAAATTAAAAGATGAAAATATATATATTTTTTATATGGAGTTTACAAAATCTTATTTTCATCTGAAGGTGTAACGCTGCACCACGCTGCTATTATCAGATCTTCAATGCCACAGTGGTTTTCTCCACGCAGTATTCGGAAATATCCATTTTCTCCCCATTTTCTTCCCCATGAATTTGCAACTATCTGAAATAAAAAAAAAAAAAGAGACTAGGTGTCTATGTACATATAAAGCATCAATTGAACATTAAATGTATTTTATGTACCGGTGAATGATTATAACATTATAAAAGACTCAGCATTTAGTTAATCATAATTAAAAGTAAAGCATATTTAATAATGATAACATTAAAAGATCAGAAGGGTCTGCTCTTTAAAGTCTTTAAAGTCTGAATTTTAACCAGGTGTAGCGGATAACCCAGGTAACCCGACTGGGTACCTCCGCTAATTCCTTCTCTCAGCCAAAATGCCAAATACCATTAAAGCGTACAGACATCCATTCCCCCAGTAAACAGATGAAACATAGTTCTGGGAGTCAACTGATTTATTTCAGGCCACACACAGCTTTTATTCACAGACCCCTACATGGGGTCTTCAACACAATAATGCAGGGTTTTCCTTCTCATGGTCCTTTGTGCTTGAGAATTGCATGAGAAAAAACTATAATTCAACTATCAACTAACTATAGAGAAAGAATACTTTTTAGAGAAGTGTTTTGTTCAGTAAAAAAGGAAAAGAAAGTCCATCTTGCCCAACCTGGGTCATTGATTTTAGTGTGAAATTAGGCTTAGCTTGTATCTGTATCTAGCTAGCTAGCTATATACTGCCAGAGTAACTTGAAACAACTTTGAGTGGAAGATAGTAGATTGACATTTTTTCATTGAGACTAAGGTTACCAATATTCAGTTTTTAAAGTTGCCTTTTTTAACATTAACACTAGTGACTTGGCTTCTGAGAGTGCGAACACCTCAGACATTAGGACAGCCGGCATGTCCATTACCACTTCCTCTACCACTACTATTACTAGTAGTCAACCTCAGCACAGTGGGATTAGCAGCATGTCCATTACGTCCAATTCAACAACCAAGAGGCAATTGTGTTTTTTTCCCTATCTTTTTCATACTGCAACAACTTGTGCTGCAACTTCAATTGGCACTGCAGCTTCTTTACTACATCTAGCTCAGACATTATGCCATCTTAGAATATCCATAAGAAGCATCAAAGTCACTCTTTAGTAAGGACTTAAGGTACATTACTTTGGTACTCTGCATTATGTGTGGTGTTGGCTGGTAGAGATGTCCCGAACAGTTCGCCGGAGTTCCTGGCAAACATCGCTTGTTCGCGTTCGCCACGGCGGGCGAACATATACGATGTTCGGTCCGCCCCCTATTCCATATCATTGAGTAAACTTTGACAACCCCCCCACCCGCCGCTCGGGGGTGGGGGCCCTAAAAAAAACAATAGGGGGGAACTTCTGTCCCCCCCCTGGCCCCCACCCCTGAGCGGCCGGTGGGGGCCCTAAATACTAAAAAGGGGGGGGACCTAAGGTCCTCCCCCCCAGCCCCCACCCCTGAGCGGTGGGTGGGGGCAAATAAATCACAATGGGGGGGACCTAAGGTCCTCCCCCCTGGCCCCCACACCTGAGCAGTGGGTGGGGGCCCTAAATACTAAAAAGGGGGGGACCTAAGGCCCTCCCCCTGGCCCCCACCCCTGAGCGGCGGGTGGGGGCCCTAAATACTAAAAAGGGGGGAACCAATGTCCTCCCCCCGGCCCCCACCCCTGAGCAGTAAGTGGGGGCAAATAAATCACAATGGGGGGGCCTAAGGTCCTCCCCCCTGGCCCCCACCCCTGAGCGGCGGGTGGGGGCCCTAAATACTAAAAAGGGGGGGGACCTAATGGCCCCACCCCTGAGCGGCGGTGGGGGCCCTAAATACTAAAAGCCTAATGTCCTCCCCCCGGCCCCAGCGGGTGGGGGGCCCTAAAAAATGTCCCCCAAAAAATTTAACCCCCTACCTACCCCCCTCACCCTAAAAATAATGAGGGGGGGGACCTTTAACTAAGTACCTGTAAAAAAAAAAAAAAAAAACTTACCATTCGATGTTTTCTTTCTTCTAAATCTTTTTTCAGCCCCAAAAAAGGCCAAATAAAAACCATAATAACCGACACAATTAAAAAAAAAAAAAAAAACGAGCGCAAAAAAATAATCCATGTTCATGTTCACCCAGCGAGGGCTCCGCGCAGACTGAGCTCTGCAGGGCGGGGGAAGCCTTATAAAGCCTTGCCCCGCCCTGTAATTATGCTCAGAGCACTCTGATTGGTTGGTTTAAGCCATCCAATCAGAGTGCTCTGACAGGTAAATGAAGAGACTGACATGTAAGTCTCTACATTTACCTGTCACAGCACTCTGATTGGTTGGTTTGAAATCCACCAATCAGAGTGCTCTGTGTCATTTTACACAGCGTGGGAAAGTTCTTTGGAATTTTCCCACGCTGTGTAATTTGACTCATAACTCTCTGATTGGTGGATAATCCAGGAGTGCTATTAATCCAGGAGTGCAAGCAATTGGAACTTTATATATATATATATATATATATATATATATATATACATACACACACACACACACACATATTCATATTCTTTCCACCATATTATACTGGCGCAGCCTTACCCTATCTTTCTTTTTTCTCCCTGTTTAACTACCTACAAGGGAGCGAGGGAACCCTTGTATAAGGGTGCTGCCTCAACTTAGTACTTATCATCTGGTTTAATTGCGCTGAATGCTCTACACCGTTTTAACTGACATTTAATGTGGACAAGTGCAAAATAATGCATCTTGGACGTAAAAACCTAAGGGCAGAGTGTCACGGCAAGGGTGTATACTTTATTATTACACTATGGAATATCATCTTTTAATGTAATTTGTGTAGTAAATGGCACAAATTACAGAGATGCTATTGCTGAGGTCAACAGGGGTTACATCTTTTGAAGCTGGGACCCCCACAGAAGTCAGATGACAGAAGGGGTAGTGTGAATGGCATAGCAATGTGAAAAGGATTTTACTATATGGATGTGAAGTAATCAAGGATCTGCAAGATGTGAGGTTCTCCACTTGGAAAAGTCTGAATGTCTCTTCATCCATTTGGCATGTACCTTGTAAAGGATAGTTCAATCATTTGAAATGGTAATGGGATTCGTTTCATGAAGATCCTTGTGTTCCAGTATCTTATCCAAGTGAAACATTCATACTTACCCACAGGTTAATAATTAAGCCTCATTTTTATTATATTTGGAATGGGACAAGCCCAATCTTTTAATTAAGCCCAAACATGAATTGCACAACTTAAACCGTGTGGCAGGAATTGTGACGTCCATCCTTTTGGATCGTGGGCGGGGCGTGCAACATGTCTTTGGAATGGGAAAACAATAACAAATTCATAGAGGCAATTATTTCTGTGGCAAGTATAGTAGAGGAGATAAAACCAAAAGTTTGGATGTGGCTTGTTGGTTTCTGGAACAAAGGAGGTGTTCACTTAGTATCCCTATTGCTCCACCCCTGGATGAGGCGTGGCAATTCACAGGGTATATCTCCTGTGATCCTGAAGGGTGTTTGTGTACTTGCTTGGGGCCAAGATCTAATTTTGAGTGAGTCACCATCTTTCCTTGCCAGAGACCCCCTGGACAGAAGTTGTACTTTGAAAACCTAAGTGAGTAATTAGGACTTCTGTATTTTATCATTTTTGTTTTTATCTGTTGTTGGTGTAAATAATTTGTTTATCATATATTGTTATATGCACTGTGACTATCTTTGCTCATAATAAACATTCATTTATTAAGTTTTGCCTTTGTCTGGTTAAGAATCACATTACTTGAAGAGACTAGTTAGTATTTTTGTAATTCCTTGTAATATTTGGTGGGTTTTATTGTTGATTTACCTGGGGGACCAAGGCACCCCATTTATAAATTGTCTTGGTGGTCATATTAGGAGTAATTGGTGTTCAATAAAGACCAGCCTAGGGTTGTAGTGGTAGTCTTGCATTTTAGAGCTTGTTACTATACGAGTAGATAACCCCACTTCAGGGGGGGTGAAAAATAAGGGAGGAGGAGTTAGTGCAGCTTAACTGGCCCTTTGTGCATTGGGGGGGGGGGGTAAGTAAGAGGGCAGTGTGAGTAAGAGGGCAGTGTGAGATACACCTCTAATTGGTTTACCCCTTACCGAGAGGGAGGCGGGGGGTTGGATCACCATTTCGTATCACTGTACCGTGTATAATGTATCCAGCCTTTAGGTATTGGTCATTGGCCTTATAAGGGGGATTTTGTAATTATTTCCGGTCTAGTGCAGACAAATAGTGAACTTTAACCCTTTCACAACCACAACTACGTCACGCGCACTCTTGGAGTAGGGTGCGTTCGTGACACAGAGTGTAGCATAATTTGATACCCTACGAACCTCAACATCTGAGGAAAGGGATTTAGGAGTAATTATTTAAAATGACTTAAAAGTAGGCAGACAATGTAATAGAGCAGCATATATGTACAATAGAGGTAAGTGGTGCCTCAAAATGGCCAGAAAAAAATAGCTATTATAGTTCCAAGAGTCTTTTGAGGTACTTGAAATCAGTGAAGTCTTTAGAGCCAGAAGTGGGTGGTCTTTCCACTTGATAGATGTCCATACATATAGATAAGGATGAAACAAGGTGAAGAGGCTAATTGTGCATTACTTACGGAGTATAATTAAAATGGTAAAATATAGGGTTACGCTCACATTTGGTAGAGCTTAAGCCAGCTCTGGTGTGTATAGCGTACAGCGGTACAATCCCCACTTAAAGGATATGATGTGAGTGTTATTGATGGTAACGTTGTCGGGAACCCAAAACAACCAAATAAAAAGGCAACGATAGTGCGCTCAATAAAATATTGGTGGTAGATAAGAAAATATAATAATACTTACAAAGATAGAGCAGGCTGACTGCCCTATCAAATCAGCTTAGGGGGTTTTATCCCCACCTAGGATTCTTTGTTGTATTGCAGGTATAAGTCTTTCATGGTAGGTGGTTTAATAGGTAAAAATAAAAAGTAAGATAATAAAAGATAATGGCACAGGTATGGAAGTGACCAAAATCCATTTATTAATTAAAACAATAGGAAATGAGTACATCCAAATGTGTTTCACCTTAAGGCTTTGTCAGTGGAGTAAAAACATTTAACCTAGCTTTCATGAGTTTTTATAGGAGATAAAATTAATTACTTTTTTTTTTCTTTCTTTTATTGAGACATTGGTAATTGCAGTACAGAATGGAATGGAAATGCATGAATGAAAGAGAACACACAATGTTTAGGTTGTTTCAAGATCATACATAAATTCCTGCTTCATCTACCTCATTTTATAATTATAAACAGTATTTGACTCTAACATGACAAGTGGAACTAAGAGGATTTTTCGTTTTTAGGCAAGCCATGTCACTGTGTGACTCAGTTGTGGCACAGTTACATTCTAATTTCAAGCTAGGAAAACCTGCTTTCCGAGCTGGGTTTAAAAACCCACAGTGTGTGGTACATGAGTGAGGGTAAAAGCGTGCTCTGTCTATGGTCATATTAGGAGTAATTGGTGTTCAATAAAGACCAGCCTAGGGTTGTAGTGGTAGTCTTGCATTTTAGAGCTTGTTACTATACGAGTAGATAACCCCACTTAAGGGGGGGTGAAAAATAAGGGAGGAGGAGTTAGTGCAGCTTAACTGGCCCTTTGTGCATTGGAGGGGGGGGGTAAGTAAGAGGGCAGTGTGAGATACACCTCTAATTGGTTTACCCCTTATCGAGGGGGAGGCGGGGGGTGGGATCACCATTTCGTATCACTGTACGGTGTATAATGTATCCAGCCTTTAGGTATTGGTCATTGGCCTTATAAGAACTTAAAAGCATAACAGTTGGTTTGCGTCAGTAAGTTGGATGCTCAATCCTTTCAAGTTTCTGGTGCTTTGGAGGTGGCATCTCGTGGTATGAATGTGGCTGTGTTGGAAGGGTCCCAGGAGCTGGTGGGCACTTCTGTAGATGTTCTCATGTTCTGATCTACCATGACTATTAATGTTAAGAAGGCGGGTATGTCTGCCCCAGATTCAAGTGTGTTCACTGTCCCATTATATGTAGTCAGCAAAGTTCCAGGGGGACCCCATCTGTAAGCCACTCCAGTGTTTCTTATTTGAGAGGTGACCGGAGCTAGGGATTTGAGCCAAAGCAGTATGGCTCGTGTGAGGTCCTGAATAGAGTTGAGCGAACGCGGACTGTAAAGTTCTGGTTCGTACCGAACATGACATTTTTTGGACAGCACATATCACTGTATGTTCAGGTTGGAGTTTGTTGGAGTTTGTTGTTCGGCGATTTAATGGCGCGTTTTGAAAGGCTGCAGGGCAGCCTACTAATGGCATGGCTGTGATTAGCCAGCGCAGCATGCGACCCAGCCTCTATATATAAGCTGGAGTCGCGTAGCGCCGCACGCACATGAGGTCCTATTAGTGTAGGGAGAGGATGCTGCAGCTGTGAGGGACAGCTTAGGAAAGAATTCTGCAAACTAGTACATTAGTGGGGTGCACTTCATATCTGAGAGTCAATTAGAAGCGTCAAATACTGCGGTTACATCAAAGTTTTAAAACGTCAATATTTGTTGGTGGTAAACTGCTAAATAGTAAATTTGGGGCATGCTTTTCATATCTGAGAGTCAAATAGAAGTGTCAAATACTGCGGTTACAGTGCAATTGTAAACATTCTTATTTTCTGGGTGCTAAAGTGCTAAATAGTAAATTTGGGGCGTGCTCTTCATATCTGAGAGTCAAATGGAAGCGTCTATTACTGTGCTTACAGCGCGGTGGTAAACATACCGTATATACTCGTGTATAAGTCGATCTCATGTATAAGTCGAGTGCAGTTTTGTGGCCAACAATTGTGAAATATGCTATGCCTCGTGGATAAATCGAGGGTAAAACTTGGGGCTATGAAATTCTGTGATTTTTATAATTATATACACACACACACTCATACAAACACACACTCTGCATTATATACACACACACTCATACAAACACACACTCTGTGTATATAATGCAGTGTGTGTGTTTGTGTAGTGTGTGTGAACTGGGTGGGGGGAGGGCATTTTTATTATTTTAATTTTTTTTTGTCCCCCCCTCCCTGCTTGTTAACTGGTCAGGGAGGGGGGCTATCTTAATCCCTGGTGGTCCAGTGGCATGGGCTGTGAAGTGGGGGGGCCGGCAGGAAGCATTTACTTACCTTTCCTGCAGCTCCTGTCAGCTCCCTTCTCCTCCGTTCCGGTCAGCTCCACTGTAAGTCTCGCGGTCTGGTTGCCGCGCGGATCGTTGCCATGGCTCTGACGGCCGCGGCTCTCTAAGTTGCCATAATACAGACAGTGACTCGAGTATAAGTCGAGTGGGGGTTTTTAAGCACCAAAAATTTACTGAAAAACTAGACTTATACTCGAGTATATACTGTACTTATTTTCTGGGTACTAATCTGCTAAATAGTACATTTGCGGCCTGCAGTGCACTTCATATGTGAGAGAGAGAGAGAGAGAGAGAGAGAGAGAGAGAGAGAGATCTAGTCCAAACAGTAATCTGAACCTAGTTTTAAGCATAGAAAATGATGTAAGAAACTTACATTTTTAACACGTTTTGGAGGAAAGCCCTTTCATTTAGAGGAATTAGATAATCAAACTAATTCAATGTTTACTCACGTCAATCAAAGCACATTAAAGATTTTTTAGACTTACCCAGAATTTTTGTTGTTTCTCTGATTCTGTTGTGACACCCCATCTAAAATCAAAACAACTAGTTTAATCAGGGCATATATTATTATATTGAGAACATTTATTTACTGCATCTATAACATTCTCCTTCAATATCCTTCTTCTCTTGTAAAACATATAAACCCACATATTGATGTATTTAGAAAAAAATAATAATAGTTCTATTGTTTCATCATTTTATGGAAGGCATCTAATTAACATTATATACATTTGTTGTACAATATTTGCTTTTTGTCTCTTTGTATTATTTGCAACTAACACAAACTAGTTGCTAAATTATAAAGAATACCTTTGAGTAATTCCTTGCCATGCAGAGACGTGAGTGGACAGTGTGACGTGTATATTGAAGAGGTAAAGAACTGACAAAATCATACTGGTGGGGTGTTCTAAACAAAGGAGAAAGCAAACTCGAAATCGTATCATCTAGATGGTGAATTGGAGGCTAGTGGATAAACAAGAGCAGACAAGGAATAGCATAGTGGAGATGTAGGTAATTATGTATGAAATTAGATGGGCTGAGATTGGAAGGAGGTTGTTTTAAGGGTAATGTTGTATGAGATTGGTATGTGAAAGGGATAGATGTAAAATTTTGGATGTATATTTACTAAGTCAACAAAAAGTAGGTAATGCAAGGCTAGATCAACTTTTTTTATGGTAGACTACCGGAAATATGCTTATGATTGAAGGGGTTAAATATTTGTTTTAGAATAACAATTTAGACAACAATTGTTTTAAAACAAAACAATTTGTTTTGTCTGAATTGTTTCATCTTAAAATTTGGTCCATCCACATTTCATTGCCATATTTTTGTTTGAATCAAAACCAAAACTAATCAATTTCATTTATGACTTCTCAATCATTACCATTGAGTCAGTGAATAAAAATGCAAGCGGCACGGTTTAACAGGTCTTCTTTAATGACTAGCCCTATCAGTCATTAAAAAAAGAAATTAAATAAAAGCCTGGTCGTTAATATGATTTGCACATTAGTAAAAAGGAGGTGTATTGCCTACCTTGTCACAAGTGTACTGCAAATTGTGTGATAAATTCTAAAAGGTGGACAAAAACATCACACAAATGCAGATGCATACATTTGCAAATATGCATGCAGTGACAAATCCCTACACACCTAGGTGTGCAGCTTCTGCTGTAACACAGGCACTGGTGACCTGATTCCTGCATGACAAATCAATTACAAGTCTCCTTTTAATTGACATAAGCAGCAGATCCTTTATGTTCTTTAAGTTGTTAAGTGAGAGCTCTATGGATTGGATTTATTGTTCCAGCACACAAAGAATTAAGATCCTATAATCAAATTAAGATCTGGTGTATAGAGAGGCCAAGGCAATATCTTGAACTCTTTGTCATGTCTTTGTCCAAACTATTCCTGAAACGTTTAAGTGGTAAGAGGCCACTACCATTACACCATGGCCGAAATGGGGTGTACGTGGTTGCAACAATCTCTACGTAGGTGTTACGTGTCAAATTGGCATCCACATGCATTCCAGGACCCAAGGTTTTCCAACAGAACATTAACAGAGTATAACACAGCTTCATGCCGGCCATCCACCTAATCTAAAAGAAAACATGATCAATGAGGCCAGCCAACTTTCTTCCATTGCTCCATTGTCCAGTTCTGATACTCACATCAACATTGAAGGCATTATCAGCAGTGGATAGGGGTCATTATGGGCACTATGACTGCATGTACGCAGTCCTATATGGAGGAAACTGTGTTCTGACACCTTTCTATCATGGACATAATTAGGTTTTTCAGCAATTTGAGCTACAGTAGCTCTTCAGTGTGATCATACCAGATGGGCTAGCCTATGCTCTCCACATACATCAATGAGCCTTGGGTGCCAATTATTTTGATGCTGGTCTTTCTTCCTTGCACCACTTTTTGTAGTTACTAACCACTGCACACTGGGAACACCCTATATGACTTGCCATTTTGGAGATGCATTGGCCCAGTTGTCTAGCCATCACTTAATGTTACTCAATGTCAATGTTACTCAAATCTATTTGCTTGCCCATTTTTCCTGCTTCCAATACAGCCACACTTGTTGCCTAACATATTCCACTTATCCCACCCCTCTACTGGTGCCATTGTAATGTTATAATCCATTTTATTAATTTCACCTGTAAGTGGCTTTAATGTTGTGGATGATCAGTGTATATACTTATTACTGAGCTTAGGTAATTCAGCCTCATCCATTGCTAACAGGTGCATAAGTATAATGGGTCATACTGAAGAGCGAGTTTAAGCAAGGCATTGTCATAGGATGCCACCTTTGACACAAGTCAATTTGTGAAATGTCTGTGTACTAGATCTGGCCCAGTCAAATGTAAATACTATAATCATGTTGTGAAAGTCTCTAGAAACAACAACAGCCCAGCCACAGAGTCATAAACAATGGAAACTCGCAGAGCTGGGGCACCAAATACCTAACTGTGTAGCACATAAAAATCACCTATTATCTGTTGCGTCAATAACTGCAGAGTTTCACTACCTCTGAAAGCAACATCAACTGTACATTGTAAGTTTCAATAAATGGGTTTACATGGCCAAGCAGTTGTACACAAGTTTTTCTTAAGCATGTTCAATGCCAAATGCTGGGTGTAAAGCATGCCAACAATGGAAGCTGGAGCAGTGGAAACATATTCTCTGTAACAATGAATCATACTTCTGAATCTGGCAATCTAATGAAGGAATCTTGGTGTTGTGAATGCCAGACGAATGATACTTACAGGTAAGCATATAACTTTATGACAACACTTTGAGGAAGGTCTTTTCCTGTTCCAACATGACTATGCCCTAGTGCAAAAAGCAAGATCCTTCAAGACATGATTTGATGAATTTGGTGTGGGGGAACCTTAGCTGCCAGCACATAACCCTGGCCACTACCTCAGTCAGCATCTTACTTGGTAAATCCATCCCTCTTGGGCTCTCTGCAATGCAAAGTTAAAGGGATAGTGTGGGCCTATAACCATTTCATTTAATCTCATTGAATTTGTTATATTGCCTGAGGTCCCCCAGTACTCTCCCTCCATTAAGTGGCCCTACCCTGATCTGACTCCTTGGTGACATAATCAGAACTTATGATTTTTAGCCAATCCAATGCTTTCCCATAGGCTAGAATCGGCAAGGAGGTAGGATGGGGGCAGCGCCAAATGCTGTTTTGGCGAATCAGAGATGCATTGGATCAATGCATCTCCATGAGAAAATTTCACCGTCTCCATGCAGAGCCTCCAAAGGCCATCTGAGGAAAATTCTATTTTATTTTTTTTCTGAATATGTTCAATCCAGTATGTGCTGTGCAAGAAGATGAGCATTGTGCAGTTTCTTAACATAAAACACAATAATGTTACAACAGTAAAAACACCAATCACACCAATGTTTTCTTAAATAAAGTTGTGTTACTTTACACAATACACAATCATTCATAAACCATACCTAATTTATTCTAATAAGAAAAACAAAGAAAATATCAATAATGTCTTGTACGTATCCAAATATGAAACTGAGTGAGGATAGAGAAAGGTGTACTCTTTTCCTAATCCACCATGATCAGTATTGTGATGGATTCTGAGCGTTGGAACACCTTGGCCATGAAGATTGCGGACACCAGATATAATAATTGAATTTTGTCAACTCAAAATTGTCATTGCAAAAATACTTTGTAGCAATTAGGCTATGCAATATTGTAGCCATTTTTGCAGTCATACTAGGTTGATTACTCCAGATATATATCTATGTATATATAAATAAATACAAATAATTAAAAAAAATATATATATATATATATATCCATATACAAAATTACATAATTTCATAAATATACACATAGACTTCAAAACATAAATATGTATATATTTTTAATTTCTAAATGCATAATAATAAAATACTTTTACATAATTAAGTAATTTTATTGATTGCAATTTGAGGGACCTGCCTGACAACCCAGGCCGAAAGTCCAGAGAATTTAATTTGCTAGCACTGTATTTAATCCTGTAACTTTCTATGACCCCCTGAAACCTGTACATGGGGGGTACTGTTTTACTCGGAAGACTTTGCTGAACACAAATATTAATGTTTCATAACAGTAAAACATATCACAGCGATGATATTGTCAGTGAAAGTGACTTTTTTGGCATTTTTTACACTCAAACGGCACTTTCACTGATGATATCATTGTTGTGATATGGTTTACAGTTTTGAAACACTAATATTTGTGTTCAGCAAAGTCTCCCGAGTATAACAGTAACCCCCATGTAAAGTTTTTATAGTGTTTTTGAAAGTTACAGGGTCAAATAATAAGGGTCAATTTTTTTACATTGAAAATTGCCAGGTTGGTTATGTTGCCTATGAGCGCATATGGTAGCCCAGGAATGAGAATTACCCCCATGATGGCATATCATTTGCAAAAGAAGACAACCCAAGGTATTGCAAATGGGGTATGTTCAGTCTTTTTTAGTACAAAAAAACAAAATCCCATGGAGAGACCAAATTATATATTAACCAAAGCCAGGTGCAAACCATATAAACACTCCCTTAACCCATTCCTGACCGCGGATGTACTAGGTACGTCCGACAAAAAAACAGTCCTTAAGGACCTCAGATGTACGTGGAACGTCCGCGGTTATTTTGAGCGCTGGACGCGATCGTGATAGTATTGCAGAGATGCCATCGTGCAATACTGCTGTTTTGTGATGATCTCTCCCCCCAGAGCGATCACTTCCGGGTTGCTCCACGTGGCGCTCGGCAGTTAAAGCTGAGCATCGGAAGCCATCGGGCATCCACTCAGCGAAGAAATAAATAAATATAATTAAAAATTTTTTTTCATATTAAAAATAATATATAATAACCACACACCCTCCCTCCCCCAGACATGTGGTTCCCAAGATGGTGCTGCATTTCTAAAGGCAGTGCATCTTGGGGCTTCTGGGGGTGTCCCTAGCCTGCCTCATGATAGGGGCAGGCTAGGGTTATCCAACCAGAGCTTGCCCCAATAACATTTTTATTGTAATTATGATCCCCATTTGTCTGATCAGTTCAATATAAGTAAATATTGCATCTGATGAGTGTAGATCTCCCTCCCTCTCTTCACTTATGTTTTGGTGGGAGAGGAAGTGAGATCTCTGCTTTAGCTAGATAGATTTAGGTAGTTTTAGATTGTTTTAGGTAGGATTTGTAAAATCTTGAGACCCAAAGGCTCTTTTCAGAACCATTAACCCCTATCTTGCCAGTGATCACTGGCTCTTGCACAGCAGCACTTTTTTGCGGTCTGTGCATTTTTTGGGGGGTTCATTTTTTTATAATTTTTCTTTTTTGTGAGACCCAAAAGCTCTTTTCAGAGCTATTAACCCCTGTCCTGCCAGTAATCAGTGTATATATCATATAGGCTCTTGCACAGCAGCACTTATTTTGCTGTCTGTGTGTTTTTTTAGGGGTTAATTCTTTTTTAGTGTTTTTTGTGACAGATCAAGAAAAGTTATTGTGATCATGTCACACGGGTCACAGCGGTCGTATAGCTTTGAGAAAGCGTATGCTATCCTTGCGTTAGAGTCTGACGCGTCTAGGTCAGACTCCGACCCTAATTTTGACCCTGCCAGGTGCTCAGATACATCATCACTAGATACAGTGTTTGCTGATAGTGATGTATCTAGTTATGTGGTATCTGTGCCTGCTAGTTCCCCTGCCAGAAGGAGACGTGTTGCTCCAGCTGGCAGTACTGTTGAGGAGTGGATAGTGCCTCATCGCCAGATATCCCACCCTTCATTGCAAATCCTGGCATCAATTTGGATGTCGCAGGATTTAGCCCTCAGCAGTTTATGGAGGTGTTTCTGGGCAATGATGTATTGGGGAACATTGTAGCCCAAACTAATTTATATGCCCATCAGTTCCGTGCTGCAAAGCCTGAATCTTTTTTGGCAAAGCAGCAATGGGCCCCTATCGATGTGCCAGAATTTCAAAGATTCTGGGCATTGACTATGCTGATGGGCATCATAACGAAGCCCTCCATCCGCTCCTACTGGAGCAGTAGCCCCATCTGCTCTACCCCCATTTACTCCCAATGTATGTCGAGGAAGAGGAATGAAATAATTTCATGCACTTCAGTGACAACAGCCTGTGCCCCCCTAGGGTGCATCCCCAGTTTGACAGGCTGTATAAAATCTCCCCCCTGATTACCCACTTCGCTGCCAGGTTTGCAGAGGCTTATACACCTGGAAGGAATATATGCGTGGATGAATCCCTGATGAAGTATAAGGGAAGGCTGGGATTCAAGCAGTATATTCCTTCCAAGCGCTCTAGGTATGGTGTAAAGGTGTATAAGCTCTGTGATAGCGAGACTGGGTATACTCAGGCCTTCCCGGTGTACGAGGAAAAGGGTAGCCACCTTGACTCTCCAGGTTGCCCAGAACATATGGGAACCAGTGGCAAGATTGTCTGGGACCTGATATTCCCCCTGATGAACAAAGGTTACCACTTGTATACTGACAATTTTTATACAAGTGTCCCTTTGTTCAAGCTACTGTACCTTTGTTCACGCTACTGTACTGTTTTGATACATTAGCTTGCGGTACAATAAAAAAAGAACCGTGCAGGTTTCCCAGGACAACTTGCACGCACCCGGCTACAAAGGGGAAAGACCTCAGCTCTGCGTCAAGAGGAGCTGTTGGCAGTTAAGTACAGAGACAAGAAGGATGTGTACCTTCTTACCACCATCCACACTGAGAGGACTGTTGAGGTCTCTGTATGTGGCAGAGCTGAGAGCACAAGGAAGCCAGTGTGCATCAAGGCCTATAACTAGCATATGGGTGGGGTTGATCTGGCAGATCAGCTGCTGCAGCCCTACCTAATTATACGCAAGACAAGGGCCTGGTACAAAAAGGTTGCAATCTACCTAATGCAGATTGCAACCCACAATGCTTTTTTGTTGTTCAAAAAAGCAAACCCCGGAATGCAACTGACTTTTTTACAGTTTCAGCTCCAGATCATTTCAGGGATTTTGTACCGTGATGCACCTGCTTCCCAGGCGGTAATGGGAGAGAGCAGAGTTGGGGCTACGCATTTTATTTTTAAAATTCCCCCTACTACGGCAAAGCAGAATCCCCCAAAAAAGATGCAGAGTCTGTTTTAGGAGGGGGGAGAGAAAAGATACTGTGTATCACTGTCCTGATTGCCCTGGACAGCCTGGGACTCTGCATTGGGGACTGCTTCAAACGATACCACACACTGGTCCATTTAAAAAAAAAAAAATTACATTAGCCGTTCAGTTTTTTTTGTGTTTATTTTTTTTTTTTTTACATTTACCCTATGTGTGGGGGACATCCTGGACTGTTTTCTTGCAATAACCAACAACAGGCTCTCCTAAATCACAGTCAAAAAGCAATGTGTGTGTAAAAATTAAAATTGGACAATTACCACCACACACTTCCTCCAATTTTTTGACTAAAACTATTGCTTTAAAGGCATCAAAACACATTTACAATACTGTGGGGTGTCAACTTTTCAAATATATGCACGCTCATGGCAAGAAAATAAATTGGGATATCTGAAAAGGCCCCCAAAAAGAAGATAGGCAAAGAAAATATGTAAAATTTGAAAAATACATGTCAGACATTTGGCTTTGCACCCCAAAACAATCCAACAAACCTATGTATGGGTGGTATCATGGACTCAGGAGATATTGCTGAACACATATTGGGGTGTTCTTTGGCAGTAACACCTAATAGGAGCTGATAATCCATGCCTAAAGTAGAATGTGTGTGAAAAATAACACAAAAAAATTACTACTCAAATGTTTGACAGAGGCTGGTGGTAGAATTAGTGCATGGAAAGTGTTATAATACCACCATTTGAAATACCCTAGGGTGTCTACGTTTCAAAAATATATGGTTTGATGGGTGTAAATTATATTGTCCGTCTTCAAAAATGTCCCAAATGGGACATGGGTGCATGCTAACAATCTGTGAAAATTCCAAGTTTGAAAACTGGAATGCGCACCCTCCAAATAAGGTCTTTTAGCCCCCAGAAAACACCTATACATGGGTGGTGTTGGTGTACTCAGGAGATGATGCTGAACACATATTGGTGTGTACTTTGGCAATAACCCTTAAAGTTCTCAGTACATATTTTCTTAAATTGCTATGTGTCGCAAACATATCACCATTTATTATTTTTTTATTTGGCATAGAGTGGTGGTAACATGGCTGCATGGAAAGATTCAAAATACCCCAGGTTTAATACCTTAGGTTGTCTTCTTTTAAAAAGTATATACATGTGAAGGGTTATTCAGGGATTCCTGACAGATATCAGTGTTACAATGTAACTTGCGTTAATTTTGAAAATAATTGGTTGGAAATAGCAAAGTTCTACTTGTGCTTATAGCCCTATAACTTTCCAAAAAAAGCTAAGAACATGCTAACACTGGGCATTTCTAAACTCAGGACAAAATTTAGAAACTATTTAGCATGGGTGTTTTTTGGCTGTTGTATATGCGTAACAGATTTCGGAGGTCAAAGTTCAAAAAAGTGTGTTTTTTTCAATTTTTTTCATCATATTTTATAATTTTTTATAGTAAATTATATGATATGATGAAAATGATAGTATCGTTAGTAAGACCATTTAATGGCGAGAAAAACAGTGTATAATATGTGTGGGTACAGTAAATGGGTAAGAGGAAAATTACAGCTAAACACAAACACCACAGAAATGTAAAAAGAGCCTTGGACCCAACGGCAAGAATTTTGAAAAACGCCCTGGTCACTAAGGGGTTAAAGGACCACTATAGGCACCCAGACCACTTCAGCTTAATGAAGTGGTCTGGGTGCCAGGTCCATCTAGGGTTAACCCTGCCTACTGTAAACATAGCACTTTCAGAGAAACTACTATGTTTACATATGGGTTAATCCAGCCTCTAGTGGCTGTCTCATTGACAACCGCTAGAGGCGCTTCCGCGCTTCTCACTGTGATTTTCACAGTGAGAAGACGCCAACGTCCATAGGAAAGCATTGGGAAATACTTTCCCTTTGGACCGACTGAATGCGAGCGTGGCTCTTGCCACACATGCGCATTCAGCCGATGACGTCGGAAGAAGGAGGAGAGTACCCAGCGCTGGAGAAAGGTAAGTGTTTAACCGCTTCCTCCAACCTCAGCCCGGTGGGAGGGGGGCCATGAGGGTGGGGGGACCTATTAACACTATAGTGCCAGGAAAACAAGTTTGTTTCCTGGCACTATAGTGGTCTTTTAAGTGTTTAAATATCAGAATCCATATATAATATAGAATGCACACTATAACAACTTCAATCATTAAGTAAAATAAGACTTTAACCAGTAGATTAACCAGTGTTCTGTACAATGGCATGAACACTTCCCTCTTTCTACTGCTAATACCTTTACCTATAAAACCAAGCATTCTGCTAGCATTTCCTGCTGCTCTGTTTCATTGTCTGCCTACCTTTAAGTCATCAGAAATAATCACCCCTAAATCCCTTTCCTCAGATGTTGAGGTTAGGACTCTATCAAATATTCTGTACTCTGCCCTTATTATTATCTTGCACTTATCCACATTAAATGTCAGTTGCCACAACTCTGACCATTTTTCTAGTTTAACTAAATAATTTGCCATGTGGCTTATCCCTCCTGGAACATCAACCATGTTACATATCTTAGTACCATCAGCAAAAAGACACACCTTACCATCCAGACCTTCTGCAATATCACTAATAAAAATATTAAAGACAATGGGTCCAAGTACAGATCCCTGAGGTACCCCACTGGTGACAAGCCCATGCTTCAAATATACTCCATTGACTACAACCCTCTGTTGCCTGTCTCTCAGCCACTGCCTTACACATTCAACAATATTGGAATCCAAACTTAAAGATTTATTATATATCATTTTGTTCAGTAGAAAAAGGGCTTTTATTTCATTTCAAATATTTATATTTGAAACATATAAATGATCACTTGTTGCAAAATTGTGCTTCAAACTGTTTTTTTTTGCCTTCTTTTGGATCAACAGCAAAAAACAAATGTGAGGTAGGCTGAACTTGATGGACGCAAGTCTCTTTTCAGCTATGTAACTATGTAACACATCTCCTTTGCATAGAGTTGATCATTTTGTTGATTGTGGCCTGTGGAATGTTGGTCCACTCCTCTTCAATGGCTGTACAAAGTTGCTTGGCAGGAACTGGAACATGCTATTGTATACGCCGATCCAAAGCATCCCAAAATGCTCAGTGGGTGAAATGTCTGGTGAGTATGCTGACAATGCGAGAACGGTAAGGTTTTCAGCTTCCAGGAATTGTGTACAGATCCTTGCAACAAGGGGCCGTGCATTATCATGCTGCAACATGAGGTGATGGTCATGGATAATTGGCGCAACAATGGGCCAAAGGATTTTGTCACGGTATCACTGTGCATTCAAAATGCCATCAATGAAATGCCCCTGTGTTCGTTGTCCATAACATATGCCTGCCCATACCATAGTCCCACCACCACCATGGGCCACTCGATCCACAGTGTTGACATTAGCAAACCGCTCACCCACACGACGCCATACACGCTGTCTGCCATCTTCCCTGTACAGTGAAAACCGGGATTCATCCGTGAAGAGAACATCTCTTCAAAGTGTCAGACGCCATTGAATGTGAGTCAGGTCGAGACCCTGATAAGGACGATGAGTATGCAGATGAGCTTCCCTGAGATGGTTTCTGACAGTTTGAGCAGAAATTGTTTAGTTATGCAAACCGATTGTTTCAGCAGCTGTCCGGGTGGCTGGTCTCAGACAGTCTTGAAGGTGCAGATGCTGGATGTGGAGGTCCTGGGCTGGTGTGGTTACACGTAGTCTGCAGTTGTGAGGCCGGTTGGATATACAGCCAAATTCTCTGAAACACCTTTGGAGATGGATTATGGTAGAGAAATGAACATTTAATTAATGGGCAACAGGTCTGGTGGACATTCCTGCAGTCAGCATGCCAATTGCACACTCCCTCAAAACTTGCGACATGTTTAAAGAGGCTTTTTATTATTGCCAGCCTAAGGCACACCTTTGAAATAATCATGCTGTCTAATTAACATCTTGATATAGCAAACCTGTGAGGTGGATGAAATAGGCCTTTTGTGTACATAGAAAGTCTTAGATCTTTGAGTTGAGTCATGAAAAATGGGGGAAAAAACTAAAGTGTTGCGTTTAGAATTTTGTTCAGTGTATATATAAATATATATATATATATATATATATATATATATATATATTAATTTCATCGGGATGATTATATTGATCCTGATGAAAGTCCTGGGAAAGGACTGAAACATTGATCCCACTTTTAATCTTGCTATAATAAAGAATTGATTTTATGGAAGACTGAGTGCTGTCACTTCTCTTCATTTTTTTTATTTTTAGCAGTCAGGTGGACTTCCTGACAGCTCAGACAGTCCCCTGCAGGCAGCTCCAAAGATTACTATTGTGGCCATGTGATGTGGAGGGCCAAAGTGGCTGGAGCTGCTGCAGGGGGACAGCTGTGGTCTCAGGCAGTACCCCTGGACCGGGATCGCCGCAGATGGTGGGAGGACGGCATTTAGGTCCACCCTTTCAAGGATGGCATTGTATGCCCACTGTTCTTAAGTGGTTAATATAGTTGGATAAGCTTTTCAAATTATTTAAAGGAACACTTCTGTCCCCTATGGCACTTTAGCTTGATGCCATTCTTCATGTTTGAAGAGTGTAACTGTGTTTTTCAGTTTACAGTTTTTCCGTTTAAAAGTGCAGATTTCACTTTTCTAAATTAACCTTGTTACACTCCCCTGGCTTTTAAGCAGTCAACTGGTTCTGTTACTTCCTGGTTTGGCTAGCTCTTGCTAAATGCCTTGGATAAAAAAAAATACTTTAAGCATTACAGCTGAAAGGGTAACGTTTCTTAAAGCCTGTTAACTGCAACTGCTAACATCCAAACACTCAAAACCCAGATAGTGAAAATGTCCAAAATATTCATATTTATATATATATAGCAGGTCCTGTCCTGTATTTTCATTAGCTGTATGCACATGCGTGCAATCATTTGAACAACATATAGTGCTAAATGTACACCAGAATGTTATAGCATGTTGAGCGTAAAATCTCATGTAATATAAAACTATATACAATCAAAAGAAATCACTGAGGCCAAATAATGCACACCAATGTAAACTAGGTAGGCTAATAAGCTTAGATACAAGAAATCTGATATCAATACTAAAAATGAGGTAAAATTGGGTAAAATTTACAAACAGGAGAAAAGTTAAGATATATTGGCATCTTGCACAGGTGCACTTACTGATAACCTGGACTGACTGGAATTTAAATCTGGGTTTCCCCTGGTTCTAAGACAGCGACAGTACCACTGCTATAACCAGCCGAGATATATCATGTTTCCAAGTGTTGTTGTTGCTCATATATTTTTAACAATAAGCTGTCACTACATGATAGTAATTTAAGTAGGAATGATTATGCAAGACCATAACTGAAGTAAAGATTATGCTTTCAGAAAACAGCATTATGCACAGGGAATTTATATACTGTAACTTTGCTTCCTCAGTTCAGTAATATGTAAATGGTTTACCTGTGGGGATTAAAATTACATGTAAATCTATTACCATATTTTGGTACCATTGTGCAAAGAAATTTAAAATAATTACAGTATGATTTAATATGAAAAAAGCGATACAAGAAAGGAAATACTTTTATACCATGCATTGGAATGTTTAACACTTAAGTTACAGAAATGCAGAATAGATTTTTTAATAATTAATTAATTAGTTGATATTTTTCTCTCTCTGTCTCTCTCTGTCTCTGAATATGGTAAAATACTTGCAAGTGAAGATATAAAACTGTATTACATCTTAAGGCTTTGCAAGGAGATAGGTTAGCTGTTCATGATATTAATTAATCTCCATCTCTGGAGTTTTCAGTTATGCTTTGTTATAAGAGTTTTATAATGCAAAAAGACCTCTGAAGTGACAAATTAATTCACTGGATATAGTTTATGAGGTTTTCATTTCACAGTGGTTTGGATTTATGTCCTGCAATATTATCTGGAAAAAAAAATAATTGGTCAAGGCATCTCTTACATGCAATACACACACACACACACATTGACAGCAATGTGGTCTCCCAGGCAAACGTAGGACATAGAAAAATGTAGATCAATGAAAAAGCTTGTATTACTGGGTGAAACACGTTGAACGAGTGCAGGACAGAGGAATGTAGTGGAACATATAACCTTGACATGGAATTTAACTTAGAATTCTAACAGAGTTATTCACTAAGGTAGAGAATTTAAAGTGAATTTCAAACGTAAGTTCAAAGTTGCTGGACTGGAAAAATTCAGCTACTCTGGCCTTAAATTTGAAATCCACTTTGAATTCACTCTCAGTTCTCACTTTGTGAATAACAATAACCTTTCCCAGATTCGGCGCTGAAGGACAACATGTAAGCTTTCTTTAGAGGAGTATTAACCATCATACAACCATTCACTTTATTATCTATGCAGCGACTGTAAGTCTTAGAAAAACACACTTTGTGAATTTGAAATTAATTGATAGTATACATGGTCATATTTTATCCTGCATATTTTTTATTAATATTCTATAGATGTGTATCTTTAATTAATATATTCCAAATTTAATTACAAAAGTTCAGAGAGTATCTAATAATAAAGGTTTTTTTATTATTATTCTCATTTTTTTATTATTATTTTTGTCAATTTATTTGTATTAAGTATGAAGCAGGACATAGGACCTTACTATACACATTTGGCTATGCATTAATTAATGCTTCATATCATTCTATCAATACAAGTAAAATATAAAGCAGAAGATATACAATTATATTCAAATCTCATTTTAACATTTAGAATCCTATATTTGATTACCGCTTGAAAAAATAGTATGATAAATCCTATGTGGAAAGGTAAGGGACCATATTGGACCAGATGTTTGGGTCAGCAGATTGGTATTGAGTTTAGTGATAACATTATACAGACCACAAAGAAAAGAAAGAATTGTTCCTCCTGAAAGATGCTTACCTATGCTGCTAATCACTATTTGTTTGCCATTTTATATTATAAATGTTTGGTATCATCATTTTATTGTCAACATTTAATGGCAGTTTTATTTTATTTGTTTATGGTTTGCTCTCTGGTTCTCCTGACCCTGGGATCCTGTGTCCAGAAATCTTTCTTTGATGTGCCTATTTGCCACTCTCATCCTGTAAGTGTGCCTTTATATTAAAGTGTCATTTTTACTAAGATACTCTGCACTGTTATTTTCTTTTTTTCCTTCTATATCTGCCATGATGTTCCACAAGTCCTGAGGCTTCCAGAATTTCATGATTTGCCTAAAATCAATTTTGGTTTGTGAGTATGACTTATTATCCAATTGTTCACTCACAATTGTTAAAACATTATTGCACTATGGTTTTCTCTGTTATTATTGTATTGTAGATTACCTTTGGGTATTTTTTTACCTTAATGGCAGTCTAATAGACTTGCATGGCAAGAAAATTACATAGTTACATAGGCTAAAAAGAGACGTGTCCATCAAGTTCAGCCTTCCTCACATTTGCTTTTTGCTGTTGATCCAAAAGAAGGCAAACAAAACCAAAACAATTTTAAGCACTTCCAATTTTGCAGCAAACTAGGAAAAAAGAATTCCTCTTGACCCCAGAATGGCAGTCAGATTTATCCTTGGATCAAGAAGCTATTACTATACAGTTGAAACATTACATAATTGAATATTCAGTTTTTGCAAGTACGCATCTAGTTTTCTAACAGTATTGAATCACTTGGACAGCTTATTTAATCAAGGCGTAAATATCCAGGTAGGAATGATAACAAACAACCCCTATCTCTCTCTCTCTCTCTCTCTAAACATATTTATATATTAATGTATATCTTTAGAAAAATGCTGCTCTACTGGCACACACTTGCAGTTTTCCATAGCTGCTGTAAAATCCATAGATAATGTTATATGCTTCACTTTAACTTGTCTTTACAAGTCTTAAGCAAGGCCACCATCATGTGGTAAAGCCCATACCAGTGTATGGGTCTCAGGGTCACCATCAGAAGGCATTGCTTCTACTATTTAGTAGATAAGGAGTGGCAAAAGCCATCCAGTCCTCACACAGCAACATATTTGGAAGGAGGTAAAAGCAAAAGCAAATGTGCCCAGTCCCAGCTTGTCTGTACTTGACTGCACACAGTTCCATCACAGTGCAGAAAGGCATTAAACCATTGATAGAGGGAGAAGAAATTACCCTCAGCAAGGTACCCTTCAACTGCACATCACATGGGAGATGCAATGTCAGGAGGGAGTTGCTCTGTTCTTGAGGGGAAGAAGGACAAGATGCTGGAAATGGAGCTAGAAGGAGAAAAGGTGATGTGAAGTTGGTGGAGAAAGAGGCAAAAGAGAGCACAATGGAGCTGGTAGGAGAGAGGGAGATAGAGCTGGAAGTGAGGGTATGAGAGGAGGTTGGATATGGGAACAAGAGAGAGAGTTGGATCAGAGTGGTAATGGAGCAAGAGGAAGTGAAATGGAGCTAGGAGGAGAGAAGGTGGGGGGTGAGAGGGAGTTAGAGAGAAGAGAGGGAGCTTGGGCAGAGAGGTGGATTTGGGTGGAGCAGGGGTTGGAAGGGAGATGTACGGTGGGAAGGAGCTGAGGTAAAGCTGAGGAACAGGGAGATGGAGCCAGGAGAGAGAGGGAGATGGAGCTGGGGGGTGAGAGGTGGATCTGGGGGAGAGAGGGCGGTGGAACTAGGGTGGGGAGGTAGATGGACAGTGTAAAGAAGCTGGGGGGAGTAAGAGATGAAGCAGAGGAACAGGGAAATGGAGGTGGGAGGAGAGGGAGAGAGCTGTGGGAGAGGGAGATGGAGCATGGTGGAGAGGGAGATGGAGCTGGAGATGGACAGGCAAAGAGGTGAGGCTGTTAGGGTTCTTCATGTAAGTTGTGTATGAGTATGGAAAAAAAGCTCCATTGCAATAACATGTGCAGAGTGTATTATCATAGAGCATAAAACTCTCAATATTATACACTATAAGAGCATCTAGAACTCCCTAGTAATAAATCTCATTGTAATGTGCCATATGTATGAATTTATCACAGTCCGCCACAGCAATAAAATGCACAGTAATGTGCAGTGTAAATTAGTGTATCATGGAGACAGAGAGCATATATATTTTAGCTGCCATACGGCCAAAATGAATACTAATGCCACTACAGAGTCTGGGCCTTCGATGCACCCCTGGCTTACAATGCAGCAGGGTGGGGCAAAATGATGGTGAGGGCAGGGATAAAAATGTCCAAGAGACATGCTGGTCCAGGTAACTGCTGCACAGCAAGGGGGAAACAGGAAGGAGTCCCTGCTTCTCTAACATGCCGAAGTCCAGGAACTGCAACTGCCTCCCTTTTAGCCCATAATGGACAGATGAAGCTGTGTGACTATAACTGTGTATGTTTGACTGTAACTGTGGGTGTGTGTGGCTGTCTGCATCTGTGTGTGACTAACTGTGTGTATGACTGTAACTGTGTGTGTGTCTGCCTTTGTATATGACTGGCTGCTTCTGTGTGTGTGACTGTAACTGTGTGTGCGGGAAGGCTGTCTGACTGTGTGTGTGTGTGTGTGTGTGTGTGACTGTCTGCTTCTGTGTGTCTGTGTGTCTGTGTGACTGTCTGCCTGGGACAGATCCACTATAGCTCTCCCAAAGGTAGGGAGGCTGGGTGGACAAATTAAATTAATAATATTAGTAATTTGTGAGAGAATGTGTGTGTGTGTGTGTGTGTGTGTCTGTCAGTCAATGTGTGAGTGTGTGTGTATGTCTGCCAGTGAATGTGTGCATCTGTCAGTGAATTTTGTATGTGTCTGTCTGTGAGTGTCTGTCACATCAGTGAGAGTCTGTGTCTGTCAGTGACATCTGTGTGTTTATCATTGAATGTGTGTGTGACTTTTAGTATGTATCTGCTAGTAGGTGTGTGTGTGTCTGTTAGTGAGTGTGTCAGTGAATATGTGCGTGTTTGTCAGTGAGTGTCTGTGTCTCTGAGAGTGTGTCAGTGTGTATATTCTCTACCAGGGATTATTTAAAAAAATACATTGCTGCGGGACAAGGGCTAAATGATGGTGGGGGCAGGGCTAAAACGCCCAGAAGACATGCTGGTCCGGGTAACTGCTGCACAGCAAAGGGGAAGCAGGAAGGAGTCCCTGCTTCCCCAACATCCAGAGTCCAGGAACTGCAACTGCCTCCCATCCAGCCAATACAGAGGTAACTGTGTGTGTTTGACTGAAACGGTTTGTGTGTGTGTGACTGTCTGCCTCTCTGTTTGACTGTCTTCCTCTGTGTGTGTGACTGTGTGTGTGGTTGTCAGCCTCTGTATGTGACTATCTGCCTCTGTATCTGTGACTGTAACTGTGTGTGTGGCTGTCTGCCTCTATGTGTGACTGCGTGTGTGACGGTGTGTGTTTGTGACTGTGTGCCTCTTTGTGTGTGACTGTTTGCCTGGGACAGATCCACTATCCCTCCCAAAGGTAGGGAGGCTGGGTGGACAAATAAAAATAATATTAGTAATTTGTGAGTGTGTGTCAGAGAATGAACCAAGGAGTGCCTGAACCTTTTTTCTTCATTATACTGCTCTTAGGGGCTCCAACCGCTGCGGTTTGGATTTTTGTAAAATACTTACCTTTGCCCACAACAAAGATGGCCCCAATGTGCATGCGAAGTCACGTCATAGACGCACACGCACATTTTGGAGTCAGAGGTAGACAATTACAGCCAAAGGAGGGTTATTTAATCCCCAGTTACCTTTGGTTCAGGGCCCTGTTATGGCTTCCCCAAGTTGGTTATCCGAGATTGTGTTCCTGTTCGTTTCAATTCAGTTTTTTTTACTTTGGCTTCGTTTTGATTTCCCTGAATTCTGGTATCCTTGACTTCTGGTTTTCCCTCATCGTTGTGTCTTCTTCTGTATACCTGACCTCGGCAAGTATTCTGACTATTCTCTGATACGTTAAGTCCGGCCATTCTAAGGTCCGGTAAGACGTTGCCTTTAGTCCTAGGTGTGATATAATTCTCTGTGCTGGATAAACTAGTAATCCTGACAATATATATGTCCATGTGCCCCCCAAATATGAATCCTAGAGATCCCACTGGTGACAAGCACTCGTGTATGACAGAGAAAGGGGTGGGGCATCACATGTGAAGGGGACAGGCTACAGACCGAGTGCCAGCAAGGCCGGTGCAAGGATTTTTAGCTACACAGGCAATTATGCATTTTTCCGCCCCACCCCCCAAAACAAAATGTGTCTTCATCTGTGTCTTGTAACCCCCCCCCCTCCTTTTTGAATTTCATAGCCCCCTTAGTTTTTAAATGTCACCCCTTTTGCCTATTTGGTGGATGTTAATCCCCCTTTAGTGTATCTGACAACCCCCTGTTGTGCGTCTCTTTCTTCCCCTAGCCCCTTTGTATGTCTCTTACTCACCCCCCCCCCAGCTAGTTTGTGTTTCTCTTTCTTACCTCCACCACTTTGGGCATCTCATTCTTACCCCAACTCCTTTCTTTGTCTCTTAGTCACACCAGGCCCTTTCTTTGCTTCTTTCTTTACCACATCCCCTGTGTGGGCCTCTTTATCATAAAAGGCACACAATCATACCCAGTAATACAGGCACACAGTCATACAAATACAGACATACAGTCATACAGAGACACACAGACACTGTCATACAGAGACATAGAGACACAGACATACAGAAACATCTGGGCTGGGCTGCACAGGGGCGTTAGGAGGCTGGGCTGCGTTGAGGCTAGAAGGACCTTGCTGACAATGCTGCCTTATCGCAGCACCGGCTCTAAGTGCCAGCCTTGGAAAATTACTGGAAAGGGAAAGTGTGTGTCAGAAAATGTGGTGTTTGGGAGTATTTGAGTCAGTGTGTGTCAAAAAGAGCAAGTGTGTGAATCAGTAAAAAGGACAAAGTTTAAAGGAAAAAAAATCAATAGGTTTACTTAATTTATTGGAAAAATTTGCAAAAATTAATGGAAACTCCCTAGAGAAAACTAGGAGATGCTACCTGGAGAGGAAGCTCAAGCTCAATGAATCATAAATCTTTAAATCATTGCAAAAATTAAATAGTGAAAAAAAGTGTAAAAAAGAAAATGTGTGATTTGTGAGAGTATCATGCATATAAACACATATATATTAATCAAAGTGTAGGATATTGATATTTAAATGTGAATATATTAAAAGTATAATTGTGTTTATGAAGTACTAGCTATATAATTTGTATTCATATAATACACTTGCTTTAATGTACATGTAGACATTACAGCCCAACACATTGCAGCCCCTACACACACTCACTATATCGCCTATACCCACACTCATTACATCACAGATCTTAGTGCCTATGTGATGGTGGTGGAATAGGGGGGCAGCACCTGTCAGTGATTTGGGGCAGGCTGGGGGCGCGGGCCTTGAGCTGTGTAGGGACCCAACATTTCTGATGTGAGCCCCGGTTTTATGTATATTTATGTATAAAAACCTCAATACATTACAGAATTTTGCCAAACAAATGCTGTGTGTATTCCATTTAAAAATCAATAGCATATTCTGCAGTTTAATAACTGAATTGTAGATTTGGAAACATGACCGTTCTTTTCACACAATATCTTCCTGTCCATGTAAAACTGAAAGGCGACAAAGATTTTACTAATGAAAATGCTTAAAATAGCTAGACATTATTATCTTTTAATTAATTTGAGTTCTGTACATTCTGCATTTCTGACACTGCAATATTATCTTATAATGACTGAATGTTTGCCCATTATTTTGCAAAAGAAAACATGTTTTTACCCTTGAAAGTTCAGTCTTAATGAATATGGAACTGTGTAAGTTGTCAGTTGTCACCCTACAATGCCCTGTCTTGTTAAAAAAAGGTGGTAATGGAACATTCATTTGTTGAATATTTAATTTTTTTATTGTTCCACTCTTAATACAGTCTTAAAAATATAATTTGAGATAAGAATACACCAGAACAGAATAAATGTAAACTGAAAAAGACTAGGCATAGCAGATTTGGTCTCTGTACTAAAATAGTTGCTGTCTGTTAGTTTGCATCCTCTGACATAATAAAAATGTTTTAGGGTATAGATGGAGAAAGAGCCGAAACAACATACAAGCACTGTGGAGAAGCATAATGGACTATCCACTTATAGTTGAACTACTGATATTTGGTAGCTCCTGATCTCTTAAAAGCCCCTGTACACTTGGCTGATCATTGATCGGCATTATTTTTAAAATTTACCATTTATCAAATGTTGTGCTATAAGAGAATGCAAGTCTAATGGAAAAGTTTCTGCTATAGTGAGATGACTAAGTGAATAAGACTCCAATTGCAGTATCTCAGAGCGTTCGTACTGGTCCACGGCAAGGCCAACTTTACCTTTTACCCTTCTTAGGTCAATAATATGACTACCATTAAGTTGGGTAAAAACAGCTTATAGATCAAAGGATATACTTGAAACCTACAAAAACAAAATGCATCTTTCCCAGCTAAATATATTTGTATGCCATTTAGTAGCATTTAGCATCTAGTGCAGAGAGATGCATTTAGTTGTAGTTTTCAAGTACATCTTTTGATCCATAAGTTGTTTTACCAAACTTAATGGCTTCAATTTTTTATTTTTTTTTACCCAACATAATTCTTTGACATTCACTAAATGATATATGTGAGAGTGTAGAAGAACATTTGTTATTTGTGCATATACTTAGGGGTAAGCTTTTTCAGTTGTAAAGTTACAAAGCACCAAAATTGTACTTTAGTGTTTGGGAGGTGGGGTACATCATCTAATTACTAAATATTTTTATGTTTTTACTGTTTTGGTTGTGAGATGTAAGGAGTATCCACAGAGTGCCACAGCTGCTATATTACTATATAAGATATTTTCAAATTGCACCAGAAGCACCTTTTACTTCACATTTATTTGTATCACTTTATTTTAAAATATAAGATAATTTGTTGTTTGAAATAGTCATTGTACTTTAAAAAAAAAGTACTTGGTTTGTGGAATTACAAACAGATATCAGTAAAAGATTGAAACGGATTAGGACTGAAATGTTTTAAATGAGTTAGCATTTTTAGTTGTTTACTTGACAACTAACTCCAGAGGTGGAGGTTACAGTGGAGGTGTCATCATGTCAAAAGCTTATCTTTCTTAGGGAGTTCATCTTGACTATCTTTGCATGCTCATTTTTACAATATTATGTCAACAGAAAGATGAAACTTAATATATCCTAATATCTTCGGAGTAAAAAATGATATGAGGCACTAACAGACATTTCTAGATGCTGTAGGAATAAAAAAGGATGATAATAAAATCAAGACGTTGTGGGCTGTGAAGCTAGTGAAGAGTAAATTATAACATTTGTCAGAGTACCTGTCATGGCAAGGGTGCATAATTTATTATTACACTAGGGAATATTGCTATTTAATATAACTTGTGTAGTGCATCATTAACTTGACCTCTGGGTAGAGGACAAATGGCTCTTTTGACCAAATGGGGCTTCTGCAAGGTGTGAAAAGGATTGCCTTTTTAAACTATCAAAGGCCCTGCAAGGTGAGACATTTTACACTTGAGTCGCCTGTATGTCTAGTTTCAATGTAAATTAACTGACTTTGACCATATGGCCTGAAACTCTCAATTAATAGTTGACTCCTTTGATATGGTAATGGTATTAGTTTCATGAAGACCTGTGTGTTCCAGTATCATATCCAAGAGAAACATTAATACTTACCCACAGCTTAATAATTAAGGCTCATTTTTATTATTTTTGGAATGGGACAAGCCCAATCTTTTAATTAAGCTTAAACATGAGTTGCACAACTTAAACCCTGTGGCAGGAATTGTGATGTCCATCCTGTTGGATCTCGGGTGGGGCATGCAACGTGTCTATGGGATGGGAAAATAATAAATTTGAAGATGCATTTATTATTTCTGTGGCAGGTACATAAGAGAAGATAGAGCCAAATGTTTCCATTTGGATTGATGTTTGTCTGGAACAAAGGAGGTGGTCACTTTCTATTTCTATCAGTACACCTTAACTGCACCCCTGGGCAAGACTTGAAAAGCCACAGGGTATATATATATCCAATGATTTGGAGGGGTATGGGTGTACTTGCCTGGGGCCAAGATATAATTTTGAGTGAGTCACCATCATCCTTTCTTGCCAGAGACCCCCTGGGCAGATGTTTTACTTTGAAAACCTATTGAGTAATTAGGACTTCTTTTATTTTATCCTTTTTGTTTTTATCTGTTGTTGGTGTAAATAATTTGTTTATCATATATTTTTGTATACACTGTAACAATTTTTTGCTCATAATAATCATTCATTTATTATGTTCTGCCTTTGTCTGGTTAAGAATCATGTTACACGAAGAGACTAATTAGTATTTTGCAATTACATAGATATTGTGGTGGGTTTTTATTATTGATGTACCTGGAGGACCAAGGCACCCCATTTATAAATTGTCTTGGTGTTGGCAGTATTAAAATAGTAATAGTTATATTGTTATGTTTAAGTGTGGGTGGTGTTAAGGTGGGTTTTGTCATTATTTCCGGTCTAGTGCAGACAAATAGTGAACTTTAACCCTTTCACCACCACAACTATGTCACGCACACTCTTGAAGTAGGGTGTGTTCGTGACAGTACCCACTTCATATATAGTTGTGTCCAGCAAGACTTGCTCTGCAATACTTTGTTTGTTGAAGATATTACTGTGCTCAGTTAGTGTACGAGTATCCATTGTAACATTACCAACTAGCAGGCTTGTGTTTTCAGATTCAGTCAAATTTCAAATCAGAATCAGCTGTTTGGCTGAATTTTGTACCTCCAAAGTGCCATATAGAGGAGTCATTATCAGACTGGAGCAATTTAAATGGAGTCCAAGAGAAATGGGATTATTTAAATGTTGCACTATTGAAGGCAACAGAAAATTGCATTAGGCTTGTCAGTAAAAGCAAAAAATTCAAGAAACCACTGTGGTACTCAGCAGATGTGGCCGAAATAGTTAAAAACAAAAAGTTAGCATTTAGTAATTATAAAAAAAACAGAGTGAGGAAGACAAAACGATCTATAAGATTAGGCAGAAAGAGGCTAAGCAAGTTATAAGAGCTTCCAAATCACACACAGAAGAGAAAATAGCACAGTCAGTAAAAAAGGGGGCCAAAACTTTTTTTAGATACATAAATGAGAAAATAAAAATAAAACAAGGATTAGTTAGATTAAAAACAAAAGAAGAAAGGTATGTAGAAGAGGATAAAGGTCTAGCTGACTGCCTCAATTAATATTTTTGTTCTGTATTTACAGATGAAAATTAAGGAAAGGGACCTCAGTTAAGAAAAAGGATAAATGAGTTCTTTATTACACATGAGTTTACAGAGGAAGAGGTTCTATTTTAACTGTCAAAAGTAAAGACAAATAAGTCAATGGGACCTGATGGAATACACCCAAAGCTATTAAAAGAGCTTAGTGGTGTACTAGCAAAACCAGATTTATTTAACCAATCATTGTTAACAGGAGTAGTCCCAGAAGATTGGAAGTTAGCGAATGTTGTGCCCATTTACAAGAAAGGTAATAGGGAGGAGTCGGGCAACTATAGGCCAGTAAGCCTTACTTCAGTAGTGGGGAAAGTGATGGAAACCATGTTAAAGGATAGGATTGTTGAACATCTAAAAACACATGGATTTCAAGATCAGAGACAACATGGGTTTACTTCAGGGAGATCATGCCAAACTAATCTTATTGATTTTTTTGATTGGGTAACTAAAATTATAGATCAGGGTGGTGCAGTAGACATTGCTTACCTAGATTTCAGTAAGGCTTTTGACACTGTTGCACATAGAAGGCTTATCAATAAACTGCAATCTTTAAGTTTGGATTCCAATATTGTTGAATGGGTAAGGCAGTGGCTGAGTTACAGGCAACAGAGGGTTGTAGTTAATGGAATATATTTGAAGCTTGGACTTGTCACTAGTGGGGTACCTCAGGGATCTGTACTTGGACCCATTCTCTTTAATATTTTTATTAGTGATATTGCAGAAGGTCTTGATGGTAAGGTATGTCTTTTTGCTGATGATACTAAGATATGTAACAGGGTTGATGTTCCAGGAGGGATAAGCCAAATGGCAAATGATTTAAGTAAACTAGAAAAATGGTCAGAATTGTGGCAACTGACATTTAATGTGGATAAGTGCAAGATAATGCATCTTGGACGTAAAAACCCACGGCAGAGTACAGAATATTTGATAGAGTCCTAACCTCAACATCTGAGGAAAGGGATTTAGTGGTGATTATTTCTGATGACTTTAAGGTAGGCAGACAATGTAATAAAGCAGCAGGAAATGCTAGCAGAATGCTTGGTTGTATAGGGAGAGTTATTAGCAGTAGAAAGAGGGAAGTGCTCATGCCATTGTACAGAACACTGGAGAGACCTCATTTGGAGGATTGTACACAGTACTGGAGACCGTATCTTCAGAAGGATATTGCTACCTTAGAGAGGGTTCACAGAAGGGCTACTAAACGGGTTCATGGATTGCGAGATAAAACTTACCAGGAAAGGTTAAAGGATCTTAACATGTATAGCTTGGAGGAAAGACGAGACAGGGGGGATATGATAGAAACATTTAAATACATAAAGGGAATCAACATAGTAAAGGAGGACACTATATTTAAAAGAAGAAAAACTACCACAACAAGAGGACAGTCTTAAATTAGAGGGACAAAGTTTTAAAAATAATATCAGGAAGTATTACTTTACTGAGAGGGTAGTGGATGCATGGAATATCCTTCCAGCTAAAGTGGTAGAGGCTAACACAGTAAAGGAGTTTAAGCATGTGTGGGATAGGCATAAGGCTATCTTAACTATAAGATAAGGCTAGGGACTAATGAAAGTATTTAGAAAATTGGGCAGACTAGATGGGCTGAATGGTTCTTATCTGCCGTCACATTCTATGTTTCTATATTGATGTATAACCAACCAACTGACTAAGAAGGTGGCAAAAGAAGGTGCCAAAAAAAGAAATGATTGACGGGAAAAATGATGATTAATGGCTACGGGGAAGCCACTAAATTATGATTTTATTCACAGTTCACATGAGAAGTGACCAATGGATGTAAAAATAGGATTGCCAGTAAACATTAAAAGCATCTACATTTATATATTATATATTAAATCAAATAAAAAATATTTTTTTTCTACTGCTCATCTTTTTCCCTCTATTGGTTACATTTTCATACTTAATCTGTGAAGCCAAATGATGGAAAAATGCACCTATCAGTGTACTGAAAAATATATACATAATACTTAAATTATTCAGTTGAGTCAAACTTTACCACCATGCATATATCTACTAATCAGTTCTCATTCATAGCAAGAGGACAAATTTATAAAATGTATGATGCAAAGTCATAAACAAACATCTTCGTTGATTTTGCACAGAAACGTTAAAGATTTTACCTTAAAAATGAACAACTTCCAAAAATACATCTTAAATCACATGTAAAGTCTATGAGGTCTTTACTACCAGCCCTCTATTGCATGTTATGTTTGCTCCCCACTTGGAGAGACTTAAAGTACACAAGAGTACACATTCTGTGCTTTTTACCAGATACTCTGTAATAAAGGTTGATTGTAACATAGGGAACTACAGATGAAAGTGTATCAGTTATTTATGAATAACTATTATTTTGGTTTCTCTTATAAAGAGGTATTGCATCATTAAAAACAATACAAATTAGACAAAACTATTATAATAATATAGAATATTGAAAAGGTATTTTCTACTCACCCAACTATTTTGACAGAATGGAAGCCACTCATTTGATGTATTTTTGATCTACTATTTGCCACATCTGTGTGTTTGTAGATTCCACTTTTATAGAGGAAAAAGTCTTCGTGAACTTTCATTACAGCTAAAACATAATACAATCCATTAAATAACTCATATGTTTATTTTGAAATATATTATTTAAAGTGTGAGAGTTCAAGCATGCCAAAGGAATATAAAATAAAGTGAATAAGCCTGATATAATGGTATCAATTACAAACAAGTTAAAAGGAGAATATAAAAAGTTACTGCTATGTTATGATGTACATTAAAACCAAGAGGATGCAGTTCAAAGTTAAACTGAATGGTTTCCAATTCATTGGCATTTCTGGATGAGTGTAAAACCATCTAGCATGATTTATTGAAGTAATTTGCATATATAAATTTAACAAGTCATTACCTGTGAGTTTCTATATAGAGACGCTGAACATTATTTCAAACTTGTATGTAATATGTCTAGTAGACTTGGAGATTAATTTCAGGCACCAGAAAGAAAGTAGACGGGAACAGAGAGGGTGTTGTTTTTGTTTTTTTGCTTGGGGCAAATACACAGCTTAGTTTTGCCCAATCATGTGGGCTAGATTTTCTGTCCAATCAAGGGGTAAAAAAAGATGGCTAATGGTTGTGTGACAGCCACTAAATATTTACTTAATTTACATATCAAGTGACAACTGACCAATTGAGGGAAAAAAGAAGCGTTAAATCAATCTATACTTCCAAGAGGATTCTTCCAGACACTTTGGCTGCAGCTACTGAGGGAGATAGAACAGCAGTGATACTTGTTGTGTCGGTGTGGAAGATAGCCTGGGTCATTGATTCTACTTTGTGACTAGACTTACTTTGTTAGCTATGCATTTTGCAACAGAAATATCTATGTTTGCTGAATAAAGTTGTTACATTACACAATACACAATCATCAATATGCCTAATTTATTGTAATAAGAAAACCCACCATAATCAATGTTTTGTAGTAACCTTGAGATTAATTTGTGAGAGCGTAGAGTAAGGGGACTGCTAACAGCTGTACCACTCTAGCCTGCACCACTTACACCGCTGTCACCACAACTATTAGTAGTAATCAGGATATTGGGATTAACAGCATGTCCGTACAACATCCAGGAGACACTTTTACCCATCCTTTTTTATGTGACAACAACATGTGGTGACACCTGCACTGGCATTGCTGCTCCTTCTATTACAGCAATTTCAAGCATCATATTTTTTTTGGTGCCCCACGCCCCAAGAAGCAACTAGGAAAAATCACAGCAGAGTCTACTTTGTGTGGGTCAGAGTAGTGTTGCCAATGCCTGGTGTTGGTAGTGGTAGCAGTGCTGAATTCGCAATTTGAAATCACATATTAAATGTTTAGTAGATATGCCAAAAACAAACACACTTTCTGGAGCTATTGAAAGCTCAGAGGTAATCAGCATGGACAGTACAATCCCTGTTTTAGGATATAATGCAATCAGGGACACCAGATGTCTTCAATGTAGCAAGGTACGTGAATAAAATGAAAAGAAAAAATAGTCCAGTGGCACAGTATGTAGTATTTGAAAGATGCATTCAATAAACTAAGGTATCCTACTTATAAATTCCAGTGCATGAACTTGGGTATAGCGAGCTTTGGTGGTTTGATCGCCACCGCGGACACAGTGGAAGCACGTTGTTGAATAAAATTAGTGGAGATGGTATAAATATAAAATAGAACTAAAATGTATTGGTACAAAGTAAAAACAATACAATTTGGAAATGAAACACTACATAAACAAGTCAATACTTAAAGTGTTTCAACCTGGGGCTTTTTTCAAAAAGGTCATGTGTTCTTGAAACTGTCCTCATTATATAGAGGAGGTAATAAATCCATTGCTGGTGCAGATGGTGTAGCTTCTCATATCCGGTTTCCAGCATGTAACTAAGTAACGTATTGTGAGTGTGGATTGAAAGTAATTGGGTCAATGTGGCTCTTTACTTCCTGATTCAAGCATGTAGTTATAGATACGATTAATACCCATACGTGATGTTTTGTGAGTATGTAGGATGCGTGTTATGATGTCCATGTATGTAATCGTTTTCTCCCCAAAACATATTGTTTCATATTGTATCTGGAAGAGGTGTTATGGCCATCTTTTTGTTGGGGATGTGTACCAAAAAAGGTCAGTATACAGATTACATAATATACAGTGCCTTGCAAAAGTATTCAGCCCACCCCACCCCCTTGACTTCTTACCTATTTTGTTACATAACAGCCTTAAGTTCAATGTTTTATTAATCTGAATTGTATGTGATGGTTCAGAACACAACAGTCTAAGTTGGTGAAGTGAAATGAGAAAAATATATACATAAAACTATTTTTTTAGAAATAGAAAACAGAAAACTGGCATGTGCGTATGTATTCACCCCCTTTGTTATGAAGCCCATGAAAAGCTCTGATGAAACCAATTACCTTCAAAAGTCATATAATTAGTGAAATGATGTCCACCTGTGTGCAATAAGTGTCACATGATATGTCATTACATATACAGACCTTTTTTGAAAGGACCCAGAGGCTGCATCACCTAAGCAAGAGGCACCACTAACCAAACACTGCCATGAAGACCAAGTAACTCTCCAAACAAGTAAGGGATAATGTTGTTGAGAAGTACAAGTCAGGGTTAGGTTATAAAAAAAAAAAGATCCAAATCTTTGATGATCCCCAGGAGCACCATCAAATCTATCATATCCAAATGGAAAGAACATGGCACAACAGCAAACCTGCCAAGAGACGACCACCCACCAAAACTCACGGATTGAGCAAGGAGGGCATTAATCAGTGAGGCAGCACAGAGACCTAAGGTAACCCTGGAGGAGATGCAGAGTTCCACAGCAGAGACTGGAGTATCTGTACATAGGACGGCAATAAGCCGTACGCTCCATAGAGTTAGGCTTTATGGCAGAGTGGCCAAAAGAAAACCATTACTTTCAGCAAAAAACAAAATGCCACGTTTTGAGTTTGCGAAAAGGCATGTGGGAGACTCCCAAAATGTTTGGAGGAAGGTGCTCTGGTCTGATGAGATTTAAATTTTACTTTTCGGCCATCAAAGAAAACGCTATGTCTGGTGCAAACCCAACACATCACACCACCCAAAAAACACCATCCCCACAGTGAAACATGGTGGTGGCAGTGTCATGCTGTGGGCATGTTTTTCAGCAGCCAGGACTGGGAAACTTGTCAGAGTTAAGGGAAAGATGGATGGTGCTAAATACAGGGATATTCTTGAGCTAAACCTGTACCACTCTGTGTGTGATTTGAGGCTAGGATGGAGGCTCACCTTCCAGCAGGACAATGACCCCAAACACACTGCTAAAGCAACACTTGAGGGGTTTAACCCCTTAAGGACACATGACATGTGTGACATGTCATGATTCCCTTTTATTCCAGAAGTTTGGTCCTTAAGGGGTTAAGGGGACACATGAAAATGTGTTGGAATGGCCTAGTCAAAGCCCAGACCTCAATCGAATAGAAAATCTGTGGTCAAACTTAAAGATTGCTGATCACAAGCACAAAGCATCCAACTTGAAGGAGCTGGAGCAATTTTGCTAGAAGGAATGAGCAAAAATCTCAGTGGTAAGATGTGGCAAGCTCATAGAGACTTATCCAGAGCGACTTGGAGCTGTGATTGCAGCAAAAGGTGGCTCTACAAAGTATTGACTTTAGGAGGAATAGTTATGCACATTGACTTTGTCTGTTATTTTGTCCTTTTTGCTTCACAATAAAAAAATTAAAACAAAACATCTTCAAAGTGGTGGGCATGTTCTGTAAATTAAATGATGCAAATCCTCAAACAATCCATGTTAATTGCAGGTTGTGAGGCCACAAAACACAAAAAATGCCAAGGGGCATTTTACTTTTGCAAGGCACTGTATACCCTTTTAATTAGTAGATTTCATGGTCAATCCAATTAGTAATAAATTCCTAAAATCCTAGCATGGATTACTCACATTATAAGCTATGTAAACACAGAAAATCAATATAAAAACATGACATGGAGTATTCTCTATTTATGGTGAAGGCACTTATTATTTATCAATCATTAACTAGGCATATAGCTCACTTACAAAAGTTGTGTATAAGACATTTCAAAAGGACCCCCTTTAACTACTAAATAATAACAACATAGTTTCATTATATACATAATCTTGTGTCTAAATTCATGGATAACTCTGCATATTTAATTACTATATACACTGGATATAAATGCTATATTCCTATACGAATACACTGCGATACACATGAATATCAACAATCCAAATTTTGCCAATCTAATTGAGTATATATACCTAATGAATGTTTGTCCTTGCTATGCATGATTAAGGCTGCATAGAGCTGAAACGTTGCACCTAATTTTGAGGAGACTTACCATATATACTCGAGTATAAGCCGACCCGAATATAAGCCGAGGCCCCTAATTTTACCCCAAAAAACTGGGAAAACGTATTGACTCGAGTATAAGACTAGGGTGGGAAATGCAGCAGCTACTGGTAAATTTCTAAATAAAATTAGATCCTAAAAAAATTATATTAATTGAATATTTATTTACAGTGTGTGTATATGATGAATGCAGTGTGTGTGTATGAATGCAGTGTGTGTATGAGTGCAGTGTGTGTGTATGAATGCAGGGTGCAGGGTGTGTGTATGAATGCAGTGTGTGTGTATGAATGCAGTGTGTGTGTATGAATGAAGTGTGTGTGTATGAATGAAGTGTGTGTATGAGTGCAGTGTGTATGAGTGTGCAGTGTGTGTATGAGTGCAGTGTGTGTGTATGAATGCAGTGTGTGTATAAATGCAGTCTGTGTATGAGTGTGCAGTGTGTGTATGAGTGCAGTGTGTGTATGAGTGCAGTGTGTGTATGAATGCAGTGTGTGTGTATGAGTGCAGTGTGTGTATATGAGTGCAGTGTGTGTATATGAGTGCAGTGTGTGTGTGTATGAGTGCAGTGTGTGTATATGAGTGCAGTGTGTGTGTATGAATGCAGTGTGTGTGTGTGATGCAGTGTGTGTTTGTGTTGCAGAGCCTTGGTCGGGGTTGGGCATTTTTATAAAAAAAAAAAAATAATATTATTTAAATTTTTTTTGTTATATTATTTTTTTTTCTTTTTTTTATTATTATTTTTATTATTATTTATATTTTTATATTATTAATTTATTTATTTTTTTGTCCCCCCTCCCTGCTTGATACATGGCAGGGAGGGGGGCTCTCCTTCCCTGGTGGTCCATTGGCAGTTCAGTGGGGGGAGGAGGGGGGCTGGCAGAGCTGTTACTTACCTCTCCTGCAGCTCCTGTCAGCTCTCTCCTCCTCCGCGCTGGTCCGTGCAGCTATTCTCTCAGCTCACACTGTAAGTCTCGCGAGAGCCGCACTATGACCCCGCGGCTCTCGAGAGACTTACACTGGGAGCTGACCGAGGTGCTGACCGGACCGGCGCGGAGGAGGAGAGAGCTGACAATAGCTGCAGGAGAGGTAAGTAACAGCTCTGCCAGCCCCCAGTCTGTATTATGGCAATGTAAATTGCCATAATACAGACAGTGACTCGAGTATAAGCCGAGTTGGGGTTTTTCAGCACAAAAAATGTGCTGAAAAACTCGGCTTATACTCGAGTATATACGGTACCCTCTAATAAACATGTATGTACGTAGTTAACATAAACTAACCCAATTCACCACCCAAATAATGACAGACAACGTAGTATGGATGAAACAGGCCAAAGCATTTATTATAACATATGATAATTACTGTATAACACAGCCATAATTTATTTTAATATTCTCTTTTCTTTGATATAACCAAAACGTCAAAAAATAAATAACCATAACTTAACATATAACTTAACACATAGTGTCATACAGTGTAACCCAACAGTCCTTGCGAATAAACTGACCATGCACCTATGTACCACTTCCTCTCACCTCTCCCATCGGCATAAACTCCTTTTCCTTCCAATGCTTACCACCAGCCGACCTTTTCCACGTCATAACATGTAACCTAAGCTTAACCCTCTAGAGAAGGGCAGGTTGAGACTTGAAACTTGCTCACTTCGTTCCACTTAATTAACTTAACCACCTCAAAATTAATTGGCAAGGACATACCCCTGGCCACAACCCCGCTGTATTAGTCCCAAGACCACCCATAGCTTGTTCCACCGCTTCTTGCAGAGCAAGATTATAGAGGTCGAGCCGACCTTCGTCAAGTGACCCCATCCCCTTGAAATAGATTGGCCGCATCCCGCTCAAATACCCTATGGTGAACCAGAACCCCCGAGACAAACCTAGAAACCAGACAGCAGTGCTCCATGGCACTCTGATTCCGAGCGCGCTGCTAGAAATTACGAGAGATAACCTCGGGCCAAACTAGGCGTACATCAGGAAATAAAACTAAAATGCGTGCCATGTCCCTTTTAACGGCCGACATCAAATCCCATATGGGCACCAAATCCAGGTCATTCTTCCCCAGATGGATCAACAGGACACTTGGAACCCCCAGGAGGCTGGACAACTGAACCAGGTCAGGAAGGAGCCGCACCCACCCCATGCCTCTTGTACAAAACCACAGAACCTCTACTTCGGAAAACGTAAAACACAATCGTTCGCCTCCAGGCCTGACCGCCGCACACTGCCTGGCCCAATAGACATAGGAGTGTCCCATGATCCAAATCCTTGGGGAACCAGATCTCCGGAGAGAAATCAACTCAGGAGACCAGCCGGTTGAACATAAGAAATATAACGTACCCGACTCCCACCTCCCGATTCTTAGGACTACCTGCGCCGGCATGCCAAGCCTAGAGACCTCAGTAGCCACCCCTATACGGAATGCGTGACCCCTGAACTCCCTGGCATCAATACCCAAAAATTCAAGCCCCAAGTGGAACACCCTAATGACTTGGAATTGGAAGAGAAAGCTACCGTCCTCATGCACTAAAGGGGGGAGGGCCGGAGAAGCCGCGTGTAAGGAACAGTACTCACCGAAGGAAAAAATGGGACAAATCCGGCACAGCCCCCAGTCGGACCCACTTACCCCTCCCAAAGACATCAGTCTTCGAGTGGTAAATCCTGCGCAAGTAACATCACCAAACAGCACCCACCTTCCCACCTGCTGACGACTAGTGAACACTAGGCATATAGCTCACTTACAAAAGTTGTGTATAAGACATTTCAAAAGGACCCCCTTTAACTACTAGATAATGACAAGATAATTTAATTATATACATAATCTTGTGTCTAAATTCATGGATAACTCTACATATTTAATTACTATATACACTGTATATAAATGCTATATTCCTATACGAATGCACTGCGATACACATGAATCCGCATGGCCTCAAAGAAAGCCAGGGGCCGAAATAAACAGGCCTCAAATACAGAATGGCAAACCATAGGTAATGAATCACACAGACATGCTAAATTAGGGTGCTGCTGGGGGCCAATAAGTGCGCTGGATTTAATTTTTACTGTACTTATTGGCCCCCAGCAGCACCCTAATTTAGCATGTGTAGGTGAGTGCAGCCAAACCCTTATTTTCGCATATATGTATATATTTAGGAGTCTAGCCAGCTCCATGGGTTTTGCACCCCTCCCTGTTACAGGTGCTTCATCTCAGGATCCTATTTAAGCATTGTACTGCAGAGACCTCGAGATGGAAGGATTTCCCCAAGTGAGAAGCTCATTTAGCAGACTGAGTAGGACCTGCCAAAGATGGGGTACATTGGCGTTGTTGCAGGCTTATGCAATGTATGATCATATACTGTAACTAAACCCCCATTATATTTTTTTTGCCTAGATTAGGTGTTTTTAATAAAACTGAAAATTGTTTAGCATTAAAATGACTGTTTAGTAGATAAGCGAGTGCGCTGGATTTTCATTTTTACAGTAAAAATACCTAAAATTCCATAACTGTAAAACTACCGAATGTATTCAGTACATATATCCCCAGATAGCCTAGATCTGAGCGCATATTATTACCGAATGGCGCTCAGATCCAATACACACAGTTCAATCGCCATGGAGCCAAAGTCTTTCAAACTGTTCTTTCGGTATACGAAGTGCTCCATGGGATGGCTATCTGGGTTAAGTCCATTCGTGAAATCAAAGTCCCGAACGGACCGGTGTTCGTATGCCGGATGACAAAGAATGGAGGTCGGCGGTTTCAGTGGTGTTCGGGAGAAAAAGTGTCAGTTTTGGGTTCCATAATTTTGTCGACGAACACCATTGTGTTTGTCGACTAAGATGGCCACCGCCTCGTGGTCGGCATACGAACGATGACCACCCAGCATACGGTTTCAATTAAGAGGTGTCTGCGGTTAACCACAACTTTCGAATTGGGGCCAATAGGTTAACCAGCAGCACACTCCTCTTCTGGGTGGCAATTACACAAATGCACACGAATCAACCGGGATAGCACTATAGTTCCAAGACAGTGGGATCTGTCACATGGCTCCCTCCTTGTGGGACACTCCAGCAGACCAGGTTTGACCCTTTGGCAGGTCAACTTGGGGATGACCGGACTAGGAGGTGGTAGAGATGTCAGTTTGCCGGGACAATCCATCGGCATTTCCGTTCTGATTACCGGGTCGGTAGCTGATGGTGAAGTTATAGGGTTGGAGGGCTAAACTCCACCGCAGCAATCTGCCATTGTCTCCTGAGACCCGGTTAAGCCAGACTAGGGGATTGTGGTCCGTTATAAGTGAGAATTCCTGTCCGTACAAATAAGGGCTTAACTTTTTCAGTGCCCAGACCAGGGAACCATTAGTTCCGGATGTGTAGTTGTCTCTCTGGGCGTTGAGAATAATCCCGTCGCTTGCCACCAGTTGTTAAGACACTCCTGGCATAAAGGAGTGAAATCACCATTTAGTGGTTTCACTTTTAGAGACACAGGCACAGTTACTGTAGACTGCCAAACTCCCGAACTGAATACAAGGGAATGCTCCAAACTCCCGAACGGAGAATCATGCAAACTCCTTCTCTCCTGGAACAGGCAAAAGAATACTCCAAAGTAGCAATCCCCCCAAACACTAGACCAAGCTCCATCTTGAGGGTAAAACATGAATCTGATTTATTGAGGGCTACATGCCCGGTATTTATGCAGGTCTCCCACTTGGTGGACACTCCCCTAGGGGACCAGATGGAAGACTGGGAAAAGTATGGTACATTAGCCAATCACAGTGGCTCAGGCATAAACACTCCCCTTGGTACAAGCAAACCCCTCCTCTCTATCCTGGAGATAATTGGGAAGAAATCCAATTATCTCCATGGATAGAGGCAAAACGCCATTTTAAATGATACAGTAAAAATACATAAAATTCCATAACTGTAAAAACTACCGAATGTATTCAGTACATATATCCCCAGATAGCCTAGATCTGAGCGCACAGTATTACCGAATGGCGCTCAGATCCAATACACACAGTTTAATCGCCATAGAGCCAAAGTCTTTCACACTGTTCTTTCGGTATACGAAGGGCTCCATGGGATGACTATCTGGGTTAAGTCCATTTGTGAAATCAAAGTCCCGAACGGACCGGTGTTCGTATGACGGATGACAAAGAATGGAGGTCGGCAGTTTCAGCGGTGTTAGGGAGAAAAAGTGTCAGTTTTGGGTTCCATAATTTTGTTGTCGAACACCGCTGTGTATTCGTGCATCTAAGATGGCCGCTGCCTCGTGGTCGGCATACGAATGACGACCACCCAGCATACGGTTTCAGGCAATTACACGAATCCATATGAATCAACAGGGATAGCACTATAGCTCCAAGACAGAGGGATCTGTCACAATAGCCTGCACCACCCCCCAAATTGTTGCAATGAAAAACCACCCGCCTCTCTGCGAGTTGGGAACCCCACACCTCCAACGCCACCAGAATGGGGAAGAGCTCCAGAAAAGTTCCACGTGAGCCCTGCCGCATGCCAGTCATCCGGCCATGAGTCAGCACACCATTTTGGGCCCATGATGGCCCCAAAACCCACTGAGCCAGCTGCATCGGTAAACAGGTGGAGGTCAGTATTAGACACCTCCGGGGCCTGCCCGTAAGTCCTACCGTTATAATAGGCCAAGAAGGAATCCCAGACTGCCAAGTCATCTTGCAAGGGACGCGTAAGCCTATTAAAGTGTTGAGGGCGAGTGACCCCTGACGTTGCCGCCACCAAACGCCTGTTAAAGTAATGCCCCATGGGCAAAATCCGACAAGCAAAATTCAGCTTCCCCAGAAGAGATTGCAGACAGCGCAGCTGAACTTTAAAACACCCTAATGCCAGCGACACCACCTGTCAAAGGTCTTGAACCTTAGCCAGGGGCACCCGAATCGATCTCGATGCCCAGGAAACTAAGGCACATAACTGGTACCCAAGGTTTTGTCATGGGCAAACGGAACACCAAACCCATGAAACACTTCTCCAAGAACCTGCAGCAGCAGAGTGCAGCCGTGCAACTTAGCCAGCCCCACACACAAGAAGTCATCCATGTAGTGGAGGAAGTAGTTGACACCTGCTTCCCTCTGCACCACCCACTCCAGTAAAGTGCTAAAGCACTCAAAATAAAAACAGGAGCAACCCATAGGGAGGCACATATCCACAAAAAACTGATCATCAAAGGTACAGCCCAGGAGATGATGAAAATCTCTGGTTGGGGGCCGATGAGGAGGAGGATGTTCTCCCACTGGCCTCCCCAAGAAAGGATGAAAAAGCGCCTTTGGACGGGTCATAATTGAGAGCCAGAGGCTGGGTGAGCACATCTGGTCCCAGGACAGAGAGGGTCGCACCGCCAGCCACTGATGAAACTGTTCGTTGTACCTCCACCAACGCAGCCCCCCATAGGTGCGACATGCGGTCCAGATAGTGTCCTGATAGCAGAAAAACATGGAGCACTTCTGGGGAGACTTCTTAAGTCATTTATACCAATAAAAATGATACATGGGGAAAAAAAACCACTCCTGACTCGATTGCTGTGTGGATATGGGAGGCTCATAAAGGGGTGATACAAGGGATTTTATAAAGTGGGGTGTCACAGCAAGGGTGCATAATTAATAATTGCACTGTGGAAATATTGTCCTTTATTGTAGTTTGTGCAGTGCATCAAGGACCTGCCGCCCTGGCAGAGATGGTATTGTCAATGTCAAAAGGGGTTAATTTGGTTGTATGGAGGTCAAAAGGGGTTACGTCTTTAGAAGCTTGGACCCCCACAGAGGTCAGATGACAGAAGGGGTAGTGTGAATGACATAGGAATGTGAAAAGGATTTTACCATATGGATGTTAAATTATCAAGGCTCTGCAGGCTGTGAGATCCTACACTTTTAAATGCCCGAATGTCTAGCTGGCGTCAATTCTTTTTGTTCATAATAAATAAATATTATATTTTACATGAGATGGCAATAACAGAACTCCATGCCTCAATCAAAACCCCAATTTTTTTATTATCTTTTTAACGCCTAGGAGAACCTTTGACTACCCTAAAGCATCTCCTCCTCAAAGGCTTACAAAAAAAGACCCTTGTTTTATTCCTCTGGGACTTTTTAAGTATATCCAAGTTATTTCTATCACCATTTGGTTTTACTGTGTATATACATATATATGGAAGTCTCAGGTTTAGAGATTTGCATACCCTAACTTCCGGTCCGTGCAAATTGCCATTTTCTATTCTGAAAACTCGTGGAAACACTTACCTGGTCCTGCAGCTCTTGGTCAGCTCGCACGCTGGTTCCTGACTCCGCGGAGACTCAGCAGGTCTTCCTTACCTCGCCAACCACCCTCCGACTGGTGCCAATTTTAATCCAAACCGTAAGTCAAGGCTGCCCGTCGTGCCACTATCGCAGTTGCTTCACATCATCCTGGGCTAGCACTATCATTATTACATGCTTCTCCGTTCATGTTTTTTGTTCGTATGATTCATGGTATACGAACGCTTAGGTTATTCATTTGGTCAGAATTACTCAGTTTGGAGAGCTTTTCGGCAGCAGACGCACAAACGCTTTGTTCAAACACACAAACTATCCGTTAAATTGATAGTGTTCAGTTGTATGCACACATAGCCCTTCTAATGAGCCGTTCGTAAGTTTACTGAACACTCTATTTTCGGCATTTGTAAAACTGCCGATTAGTTAATTTTAATTTTGTATTTATGTTGGTTATACCGACCTCTGGCGGTCAGACTAGTTATTACTTATTGTATTATGTGAAGCCTATTAAGGCTAAGTATTGTATTGGTATGGGTAGTTCAGGAATTTTTCTGCTCGGGTCATGATCTGATTTTCATGCTGTTACATATGTTTCTGTTCCACGATACGTTCTGAATTTCAAAACGGCCTTCACTCCAGACATTCTCTTTTCGCTGAACTACAGGTTCCACTTTTCTGTCTCTAGTACATAGATATCTAAACACGTACGTTATATACACATACCATTTTGAAGTGTTCTAATGTTATACATTATGTGTATGGGGCATAGATTAGGTGTTTGGGCGATTTAAAGCCTATAAGTGATTATATACCTCTTATGTTTCAGTCTCAACGGCATCCACAGGGGGCTGCTACTCTACTACCTTTTTCATCTGGTATAAGTCAGTAATTTACAATTAATTGTACACTTAGGGTCTTACAAGGCCTGGGTACTTATGTGTAATTTCTGCATTACTAGGTTTAGGCCATCCTTGCAGCTTTTTGATTCTTTGGTTCCAGTCTTCTACATTTGCATAATTCACCGGTAGGTATCTAGTTAGCGAGAGGGGAATTAAGGGTACATATCGATATAACCCTGCAAAAACTCACAATTACTCTCGTAGGTTACTACAGATCGCCTGTATCACCTTATCCGGCTACTTACTTTGCTCATCAGGTACGTCCTTTTTCACAATTTTCTCCCAACCTCCCTACTCCGTCGGGTTCATAGTCTAGTTATACACTGGCATTGGAGCATAGGAGCCTCTAGGTATGTTTTCTGGCCTTCTACGCCTTACGTTAGTGGTCCCGCGAGGCCATCTCCCATCCTCATTTCGGAGCTACGACATTCCCTCGGGCCAATTCATAGTTAGCCGCCTCACTTGGTTGCATAGAGAGGGCCTCATCTGTCACTCCCATTTTGTCTTATGCTGTTACTTGTTACAGAGAGGCCAACACCCCTCCATAATGTCAATGGCCATGTACCCCACTCGGGCCAATTCATAGTTAGTGCCTCTCACAGCCGCTTGGCAACTAGCAGGGCCTCACCTGTCACGTAACTACCTAATTGTTTCGCCGCTTGGCATTAGTTACGTCAGCCAGTTGGGTATTACCCCAGGTAACCTTCTATTTTGTTTTATAGCATCACAACTACCAGAAGGTGGGGAAGAACTGTCTATCCCTAGTACACCGGCTAGATCAGTCACTCCATCCCGGGGTGGCGACAATGCGAGCCCTTCATCCCTCAGGTCTTGGACCATTCCTAGGATCACTGCAGAATTGAGGAAAAGGAACATCCCTTACCCAGCTACGGCTAGGAAAGCCGAATTATAAAGACTTATGAATACTCAAACTGATAACAACGGGACAGATGATGGGGCTAGTAGCGGTCAGTCTTCTGATCTGCAGGCTGTATTGTCCTCGGTCCTGACCTCCTTGGGTCATATTACTGACAAGCTTGACAAAATGGAGGCAGATAGCCAACAGCATTCGCTCACGGCTCTGGGTAATCCTGACCCTACGGTTCTCCCTGGCCCTCTTCCTGGTAATATTCCAACTGGTCCTAGAGAACCTCATATTATTAACCCAGCACACTTGGTGCCTGCTAACCTTAAGAAGGACATCTTGGAAGGGAAGGATGTCAATTTCATATCACTGCTCATTGCCTCCCAAGATGTCCTTGAAAATAAGACATATGCATATGGGGACGTATCGGTGGTACTAAAAGCCAGGGACCCCAGGCTGAATCGTAAGCTATCCATCCCTGAATTTGCATTGGCTTTCGGGATCTACAGGGACGTATTATGCTCAGTGTATCCCTATAGGAGGGAAGAATTGGATCTCTACCTCCACAAGCTGGTGGATTTGGGGCACAAGTACGGTGGTACGTCTTTTTACGACTACCACCGTGCTTTCTCTGCAAAGGCGTCGGCGGCTCTATCCCAGTTTAATTATCAAGCTGACTGGAGTGTGCTGGATACGGAGCTTTTTTGTCGACACTTTGCGGGCCTAAAGACGCCAGCTTGTGCCATTTGTGCCTCCAACTCTCACATGGTGAATCTGTGCCCTAATACCCCGGAGGTAAGTACCTCCTGCCCTCCTTCCAACATGACGCCCACAAGGAGACCAGGCAAGGTCCTTAAGGATAAACTGGGCTAATATATAGTGTTTCTGGGAAAGTCACAAGTATGTAATAACTTTAATACGCGGACTTGCGGTTACAGTGCCTGCAGGCTACTTCATGTCTGCTCCAAATGTTTCCGGGCTCACTCTAAAGTAATGTTTCCAAATTATACCTCAAGCAGTACCTTTCATCTCTTAATGTCTCACTGCTGAAAGATTTATTGTGTGGTCACCCATCTCAACATCTAGTGGAATTTTTGGTGACAGGTTTCACTTTGGGATTTCACACTGGTATTATCCATATGCCTAAAGGGGTCTTAGAATGTAAAAATGTACAAACAACCCTGGCAGGTCCAGATGGTATTGACCGACTACTCCAGAAAGAAATTGACCAAGGGTTTGTAATTGGCCCTTGCGACTCTCCACCTTTCGCGGTATGGAGAACTAACCCCATAGGTCTGGTCACAGGTAAATCCTCCAATAAGCAAAGGTTGATTCTTGACCTCTCTGCTCCCCATGCATCACCTACCCCAAGTCTTAACTCACTCATTTCGTCAGAAGAATTTTATGGCAAGACAGGAGGCTTCATATTTGCTTTACTTTCTTTACTGTAACTCCCAGCAGCAAAGAAACAGTTAACAGTAAGTAAAATATTTAACCAATCAGAGTGTACAATAGAGTATGTCCAGTCATCAGGCTCCTACCAATTCCTCTTTCTTTGCTGCTTAGCCTCCCAGGTGAGTCTATTCCAATTACAGTCTAGTATTGATAGTCCTATATTGATTTATTATATCTTATTATTTTGACCTTATGTATTAACTGGTGATATTTTAACACTATTTTATTTCAGACCTTTCCCCTTTAAATGGACTGTGTCTTTAGAGTGATTTCTGCTAGTTTCTTGCTATGCCCTCTGTGGGTTTCATTTAATCCCCTCGGTCTGTGTGTGTGCTGCCTTCTGCCTCAGAACTACAGAGACACTTTGTAAACTCCTTCCGTGTGGCCAGAAGCTGAGATCTGATCGGCTTCTGGCCGGTTGCCAACCTCGGCAATATCGCCACCTCCATCTGTGAGAGCACTCCCGGCCCCTTACCTGTCTCCATAGCGACGACTCCTTCCTCCCGCGGCCATTTCTCGGCAGGCTTTTTTCGCGCTCTTTTCTTTCCTCCATGTCTGGACGGCTACTGATCACAACGGCTCTCCAGCGCCTCTATTGGTAGTTTCAGGTAAGTGCATTCAACATTTTTTTCTGACAGCAATTTAACACTGAACTTTTAACCAGTATTATTAAAGTGTATCTACTCTGTTTTATTACAGATTACACTAAACCCTTGCATAAGAGGGTGACCCCCTCTATACCTCAAGCACTTTTTGCCTCATTACTGAGGGTGACCCCCTCTATATTAATTTAATAGTTGCCTCACTGAAGAGGGTGACCCCCTCTATATTATACAGTTCTGCCTCATATAAAGGGTGATCCACCTTTTACTGTCTCCTGAGGGTGACCCCCTCATTACATAATATTAATACGGTTATACCTTTTCTGCTGCAATAACTGGGTGACCCTCACGCTTAATTAGCAATTCAAAGTTTTTATATACACGTTTTATGTTTTGAGCAAGTCCACTGCCTTTTGAGTTATAAAAAAAAAAATTACTATATATTATATTATATATTTATACTCGTGGTGACCACACTTCTCTCATTAAAAATGTCTGATTTGCCTGAACCACCAGTCTCTGCGGAGCTCAAAGCTTGGCTGTATAACGCCATTGCAGACTCCATTCCAAAAGCTTTGGCAGCTTTTAATGAACATTCAAAGTCTGCCCCTAGGGCTCCTGTCATTCACCTCTCAGACTCTGAAGAGTCAAAAGGCTCAGACCATGACGAATGTCCCTGCAAATGCCCTTGGAAGGGCAATAGTGCTAGCGCCGGTAAGGGCAAGGCACCAGCAAAAGCACCTAGATTATCCCTTTCTGGTACTCGGGATAATACCCTCAATTATAACTTCGACCCATTAGAGGGTTCAACTTCCAACCTGCAACTTCAGGTACTGGATGAATACTCTGCAGGGTATTCGGACGAGGACCTTCCCTCCCATGAACCCCACCAAAATGAGCTCCAAACCTCTGATCCTAACCAAAACATATCTGAGGATATTTTACTAGATACCTCTGGCTGCCCCCTGTTCTGTAGGATGTGGCTCCGTAAACCATTGGAAAAAGAGGTAAGAGCTAAATTAATTGTTATCCCAGACAAGGTGGAGGTTACCCCAGAATTCGATCCCTTACTCGTCACCTTTCTGTACAAGACAGGAAAAGACCCCCGTAAGGGTTTGGAACAAGGCCTGAAGGCCACACAAGATAAAATGATGGATATGGCGGGAACGCTTATCCAGATTTTCACTATCGCAGATGAGGCTTTGGCAAGTGGCACTTTAGACGCACATATCCCGGCTACTTAGCTTATTTCCCCTTTTAGAGACCAATTCCTCCCGCATAACATTAGACGTACATGTCACCGCTGACTTACGTATGTGGAGGGAGTTCTTGCTGCACTGGAATGGAAAGAGCAATTTCGTTCCAGTATTGACGGATAAGTCGATATCTATCTGTACAGATGCCGCGGCCACTTCCGGATTTGTCGCTATTTTTGGCAATCAATGGATGTGGGGTAACTGGCCGGAGGAAGCTGCTGAGATCCCAGAGTTCAAGGACACATCTGCATTGTTTGAGCTTTACCCTATTGTAGCAGCGGCAGTTAAATGGGGAGCTTGCTGGTCAGGGAATACGGTGCGTTGCTTCTCTGACAACATGGGAACAAGGAACGTTCCTCTTCCCTGGCCATAATGCAATTTATAAGGAATCTCACGTGGCAAGCGGCAAAACACAGTTTTTCCTAACTTGCATACATGTTCCTGGGGTTCTGAATATTGCCGCTGACCATTTATCCTGATCTCGTTTTCAGGAGTTCCGGGCGACGCTACCCACAGCTGCCCTAATACCAACTCCAGTACCGAGGTGGCAGGAGATGGTCTTGGATTAAACAAGCTACTCACTCACGGGCATCATCTCTCACAACTAGGTCTTTCTGTTAACACCAGAAAGGCTTATGGCAGGGCTTTTCATATTTTTAATGGATTTGTTCTTGACTTCAACATCTCAGACAAATTTTCCATGGAAACAATGATTGCGTTAATTTTTTTTTGCCAACTTCACCTAAAACTATCCTTCAACACCATTAAATTATATATCACTGGTATTCAACACCATATCCTCATCACTTGGCCTAATAAACAACGTTTCCTGTCCTCTTACCAAGTAAAGGCCATACTTAAAGGTCTCAAGGACTCCACCCCTGCACCCACGCCATCCAGATTACCTTTCCACGATCTCCTATTCCAGTCACTGTCAAACCTTTTAGATACCTCACCATTTGAAATTCACACAAACCAGGTCATGAAAACGGCCATCTATTTGGCGTTTTATGGGTTCCTTCAAGCCAAAGAGTTTACCACCACTAATTACAACACACCCAACTTCCTCACAAGATCCAACCTGGTAAAAACACACGATCACTATTTACTGTCCCTACATCATACAAAAACTAGTGTGAAGGGACAGACGGTCACTATTACCTATTACCCTACTGGTAATAAATGGTGCCCCGTGAAAGTCTTCGACCAATACCTTTCTTCCATTTCAATAGCACCACATCAACCACTGCTAGCATTGTACGGTAATACCCTCACTATCAGTACGTTCATGCTCTATGTAAGAACGTTGTTAGTAAGGTTGGGACTAAATCCGCCAAATATTCTGGTCACTCATTTCGAATAGGAGCGGCTACTACCGCTTCAAAGAGGAATATTCCTGCACACATCATTAAAATATTGGGCCGGTGGAAGTCCAAAGCTTACACCATATACATACCCCAGCTAGTTCAGGAAGTACGCCTAGCATTCAGGAATATGATTGTGTGATAATCTTATGGTGTATTGTAGGCTGAATAAACTGGTTACATTTTTTTGCCCTCTTTTATTTCAGGCCTACTGCATCGTCAGTTCCGGCACACCACAACTGACTTTTCCCATCCCCGTTTGTTTTATGTTACTAACTCTACAGCTTTATGCCTTGACCACAAATGGAAGGCAGGGCCTGAAGTTGTGGGAGGGGCTTGGTTCCCCCTCTTAAGGAGCACCAGCCCTGCACTCACTACCGTCTCAGGTCTGGAGATTTGTCCTACCCACCACTCCTCCTTTTATAATCATTTCTTAAGGTAGGCTCTCTTTTATTTCAGGCCTACTGCATCGTCAGTTACGGCACACCACAACTGACTTCTCCCATCCCCTGTTTGTTTTATGTTACTAACTCTATGGCTTACTGCCTTAACCACAAATATATATATATATATATATATTTGTGGTTAAGGCAGTAAGCCATAGAGCCATATACATACATACATATATACACATACACACACATATATATATATACATATACATATATACACACACACACACACATATATATATACATATACATACACACACACATATATATATATATACATATACATACACACACACACACATATATATATATAAACCCCAGCTACTGCAGAACACCAGTCCGTCGAACAGGAAACCATATGAATGCTGTAAATAGCCGAATAGGAAAAAACATACAAATAGGTTTACACTCCTAGCAGTCGAACTGGAACAGCATACAATAAATCCCCCCAAGAACGAGACAAAGCTCCGTGTTGAGGGTCAAGCAGTGAACAGACAGAGCTGTGGGTTTATTGTTCTTATGTACACATTCTTACACATTAGTACCACCCACAGGGTTTTGGAACACAACCAATAAACACATACAATACACTCAGACACTCACACACAAAATCCTCCCCTCTGCCTGTGATTCAATTACCTTACACAATGGGTAATGTAATTTTCACAAACAGAGAAATACAATTTTCCCACATTATTCATAACTTTTCAGAATCAGCATACTCCAAATACAAACATATGTCAAAATCATCCAAATTGGTCCAGTGGTTCAAAAGATAGATCATAGTCCTTTGTGACCAAAGGAAGCATGGCTTTTCTGCCCAAAACCAGTTCCACAGAGTCTTCTATCCTGGAGATAATTAGGAAGTAATCCAATTATCTCCAAGGACAGAGGCAAAACTCCATTGAACACATGGCAGCAAAAGACAATAAAACACATAAACTCATATAACTGTGCAGCCATTGCACAAAACAGGTAGATTCAACATATCCCAAGATAGCTCAGATCTGAGCGCACATTATTACTAGAGATGTCCCGAACAGTTCGCTGGCGAATAGTTCCGGGCGAACATCGCATGTTCGCGTTCGCCACGGCGGGCGAACATATGCGATGTTCGGTCCGCCCCCTATTCCATATCATTGAGTAAACTTTGACAACCACCTCACCCGCCGCTCGGGGGTGGGGTTGTCAAAGTTTACTCAATGATATGGGGGGGGGACCTACTGTCCTCCCCCCGGCCCCCACCCCTGAGTGGTGGGTGGGGGCCCTAAATACTAAGAAGGGGGGACCTAAGGTCCTCCCCCCTGACCCCCACCCCTGAGCGGCGGGTGGGGGCCCTAAATACTAAAAAGGGGGGGCCTAATGTCCTCCCCCCTGGCCCCCACCCCTGAGCGGTGGGTGGGGGCCCTAAATTGGAATAAGGGGGGGACCTAAGGTCCTCCCCCCTGGCCCCCACCCCTGAGCGGCGGGTGGGGGCCCTAAATACTAAAAAGGGGGGGACCTAATGTCCTCCCCCCGGCCCCCACCCCACTATATGTAGCCTGTAATTGTGGGAGGGGTTACCCATCTATAAAAACACAGGCCACCCCTCTCACTGGGCCATTAAAGCTGGGTTCAGTCAGAATCTTTGATTTCAGGGTTACGGTTCAACTCACCAGGACATTGCTCCCACAAGGTCTCGCTACAGACCAAGTTCTCCTTGCACCGGTCTACACCTCCCCCACCGCGGCAGACCTCCATACCTTACTCACGTTGGGGCTTCTCCTCCCGATTTTTTGAAGGAGTGGAGACTGGGTGAGCATCTAACGGAGGAGGGAAGTGAGTTCCTTGAGAAGTCTTGAAGGCGAGCATGAGAGGTGGGAGTACGGACAGAAGATAGACGTAAGTCTTCAGCAGAGCGTAAAGGCCTAGATGGGACATACTTGTGTATTAGGAGGATAGATAGGTGGGAGCAGCATTATGTAGAGATTTGAACCAGAACTTTAAATTGAGCCCTATATCTTACAGGAAGCCAATGTAGGGACTGACAGAAGGGTGAGGCGTGGGTGGTGCGGGCAGACAGGAAGATGAGTCTCACCGCCACATTCATTATGAACTGTAACAGTGCAAGTTGGGAGCATGTAAGACCACTGAGACGCAGATTACAGGAGTCAAGGTGAGAAAGGACAGTGGAATGGACCAGCACCTTAGTCGCATCTGGCGTTAAGTAGGGTCGGATGCGCACAATGTTTTTGAGATGTAAGCGACAGGATTTGGTGATAGACTGAACATAACGCATGAAGATGAGGTCATAGTCAAAGAGAGCACATAGGCAGCGAGCCTGCATGGTGGATCTGATGGCAGCACCGTTGATTTGGAGGGAGACAGACACAGGAGTAGTAACACTTAAGGGAGGAAAGACCAGAATTTCAGTTTTGGTCAAGCTGAGTTAGAAATAGCAGAGAGGCAGTCAGAGACACTAGTCAAGAGGGACGGGGAGAGATCAGGAGACGACAGATAGATTTGCGTGTAATCCACATAGAAAGGATATCGGAAGCCAAAGTAGCAACTGAGTTTACCAAGGGAGGCAGTATAGATGGAGAACAGTAGGGGACCAATGACTGAACCTTGGGGGACACCTACAGAGAGGAGTTGGAGAGAAGAAGCAGAGCCAGAGAAAGAAACACTGAAAGAGCACTGGGAGAGGTAGGAGGAGCACCAGGAGAGAGCAATATCTTGTAGACCGATATTGCGGAGGATGAGAATAAGCTGTTGATGATCAACAGTGTCTAACACTGCAGAAAGGTCAAGGAGAATTAGGATACAGTAGTGAACATTCGATTTTGCAGCGAGTAGATCATTGGATACTTTGGTCAGTGCAATTTCTACAGAGTGCTTAGCGCGGAAACCAGACTGAAGCGGATCTAGCAGAGAATTGCACTCGAGGAAGTCTGTC